TCTTAAAGACGGGTTACAGTCCGTGCTGCGCATGTGCGATTCTTTTGTTTTGGTAGACTACTTATCTCTCGTTTCCATGGTCTCCAGTCCGATTGCATAATATACGCGCAATTCTATATTTGTTGATACAAGGAGTGGGAATACACAGTTTCGAAGAGATTTTCAACGATTTGTGACTTTTATGAAGTGAAATCCGATTAATAACAAATCATTGAAACAATATGTGAAGAAGGAAAGATTACGCCAACAAGGATGCCTTTAAAGTGTGTTTATTTGAAATTCAGTCAAGCGCTTCGCCATGTCGAAGTTTATACTGTCATATAAAGGTAAATATTTGTTTGATACATTTGATTATTCTCTAATTCGCTGTGAATTTGTGACAATTTTTAAGCTAGGGCAATTTTGTTCATTTACTGTCTGAGAAAATATGGGATCTCTGAGTTTATAATTCAACTTGTTCGAGACATGTATTGATGTATATTTGTAGTATTTCACCTCGGCTCAGTACTATAGCTTGATTCAGTCAAGGATAATAAAACTAATTTCATCTTTATATGGCGAGCTGTTATCAAAATGCTACTGGGATTGAGTTATTGGATGATTATTGTTTTGTAATTCATAAATCAGGCATCTCCAGATGAACTTTCTGGTAGCAGAATATATTGAATTTTTTTACATGACATGATTGAACATATATACTGAATAAAATTTCTATTATGCTGTACTATAGGTTACCTTGAGCTCATGGAAACATTACAGATTGTACAACACTAACATCAAATAAACATGGTGATAGATAGATAGATAGATATTTTATTTTTATTTTTTCCATTATACAGTTACAGTTTTGATAAAATATAAAGATACAATTAATATGGAAGGAAGACTAACAAGCCCGTCAGGGCTTTTCTAGTAGTCCACCCTAAAAAAATTAAAAAACAAACTAATATAACAAAGGAGAATAGTGTCAGATAATGTCAGGTTCAAGATATATGAGGTCCACTAATACAAATTAACTTTATAAAGTTATAAATTATTTTTATTTACATTTTTTGTGAGTACAACTAATAATCTTCAGAAGAAAGAAGATATAATTTTAGATTGCACTTAAATATGTATTTACTATCGCTATTTTTAATGTATTCCAGCAACATATTCCACACTACTGTGCATCTGTTTTTTGTGGAATACAATCCATAGTTTGTTTTATTGTAGTGTTTGTGTAATTTCATAGAGCCTCTGGTATTATGGCAATGAATAACATTGTTTTTTTATGCAAAGTGAATCAAATTGAGGTGGTAGTGTATTTTTTACTGCGTCGAATGTGAACAAACCAACTTGAAAAGCATTTATCTTATTAATATTTAGTATTTCTAGCGTTGTATAAGGCAAAAATGATATTATTTTCAGAATCTTTTTCTGTATCGTTGATACTGACTTTAATCTTGTTTTATAGTTGCTAGCCCATAGTATATTACCGTAATATAAATGTGGGTAAACAAGAGTATGATATAGAGTTATGAGATGTTTTTTATTTAGGTAGTGACGAACTTTACAAAGAATGTTAGATACTTTTAATAATTTCTTAGTTATGTAATCAATATGACTTTTACATGTTAAGTGTTCATCAATTATAATACCAAGGAATTTAGTTTCTTTAGCATTTTGTATAATTTTATCTTTAATCTTAAAGGTTAGATTTGCGTTATGTTTTTTCCTGAATGATTTGAATATAATGTAGTTAGTCTTTTTAATATTTAAGGTAAGCTGATTATCCTTAAGCCATGTTTGCACAAGTATAAGTTCATGATTTATTTCTATTTCAAGTTGTTTCAGGTCTTTTCCTGAACGAAATAAATTGGTGTCATCTGCAAACAATATAAACGAAAGATTACTAGAGCAATGTATATCATTGATATATAAAAGAAAAAGTAATGGGCCCAAAACTGTTCCTTGAGGAACTCCACATTTGATCGTTTTTTCAGTTGAGTAAGTTACATTATATTTAACTATCTGTTTTCTGTCAGTCAAGTAGTTTGCAAACCAATCATTGCATATACCTCTAATTCCATAATGATGAAGTTTAGTCAATAAGATTTTATGATTTACGGTGTCAAATGCTTTAGAAAGATCTAAGAAGATACCAACAGTATATTCCCTGTTTTCTATTGCAGTAGATATTTTGTCAACTAGATCAATCATTGCGAGACTTGTTGAGTATTTATTCCGAAATCCGTATTGTTTGTCATAGAGGATATCATGTTTAGTGATGTAGGATGTTAATCGTTTAAACATTATTTTTTCTAGTATTTTTCCAAAACTTGGTAAGACTGAGATAGGTCTATAATTCGTAAATTTGGTTTTGTCACCAGTCTTATAAATGGGTGTAACTAGCGAAATTTTTAACTCACGAGGTATAATACCACATGTGAAGGATAGATTGAAAACATGGCACAGTGGTATTGAAATAATATGGGAAATGTGTTTAATAAGTTTGGAACTTATTCCATCGATCCCGCAGCTGCTTTTAGATTTCATAGAGGCAATTATTTCTTCAATTTCTTTGTTTGAGGTGCTTTTTAGAAACATAGATTTTTGATAGTCACCTTGTAGGTGCTTGGTGAAATTGTTAGAATTCTGATCGAACTTCTTAGCTAAATTTGGTCCTACATTAACAAAAAATTCATTAAATCTATTCGCAATTATGTTTGGATTGTTTATTTCCCTGCCATCTTCTAGAGAAAACCTAGAAGGTAGCTGTTTTCTCTCTCCTTTTTTGCAAATTAATTCATTTAGTATTTTCCATGTACTTTTCAAATCAGCTTTGGCATCATTTAACCGTTTTTGAAAATGCCTTTTCTTGGAGACTCTTATAAGATATTTATTTCGGAATATTTTATACTTCGTTCTATTAAATTCTGTTGGCTTGCATAGAAATTTCCTGTATAATTTCGTTTTCGTGGATTTTATTAGTCCATTAGTTATCCACGGTTTCTTAGGGCATATGTTGTCTTTTAATTTAACCACTTTTATTGGAAAATGTTTGTTAAAAATTCCTTGAAAGGACTTTTGAAACTCTTCATAAGATTTTTCAACGTCAGGTTTTGATAGTGTAGATGACCATGTTTGATTATTTAATTCATTAACAAAGGATTCTCGTGCTGCATCAGGCATTGGTCGAGTTTTACTTAGCTTAACACCGTTTTCAACTTGATTTTGGTTATAATCCAGACATATTTGGAATACTGGTAGGTGATCCGATAGATCGTTAAATAATATTCCACTAATTTGTTGTTGATAGCTAACTTGATTGCAAAATATATTGTCAATTAAGGTTGCTGTATGTTCAGTTAATCTCGTTGGTTTAGTTATAAGGGGGAGAAACGCAGAGGATGTTAGTTGGTTGAAGAATCTGTTTGCAAAAGAACAGTTTTCATACTTGAGTAAATCAATGTTAAAATCTCCCATTAGATAGCAAGGCTTATTTTCTCTATCTACTTTCGATAGGATTTCACGTAAAGCTTTTTCAAATTCATCATATTTGCTATTGGGTGGTCGATAAATAATTCCGACTATAACATTAGGGCTATTATGGTTCAGGATTTCAATAAATAAAAATTCTACATTGTGTTTCCCGGTTGTTATACCATTGATATCATCGCGGATTTTAAATTCAATGTGATCTCTTATAAATGCGCAAATTCCGCTGCCAGATTTATCTGCTTTCCTGTTTAAGTAAATACTGCTATATCCTGGTATGTCATAGTTTATGTCAATGTTGTCTTTAAGCCAAGTTTCTGTAAGCGCTATTAGTGAAAATTTTAATTTCAGTATATTTAGAAAAGTTTGAAGAGAGTCGACTTTATTCTTTAAGCTTCTTATGTTTAGGTGCAGTAGTGATAAGTTATTTGAAGCTATATTTTTAGTTTCTATTAAGTTATTAAATGTATTGGTGGTATAATAAGAATTTTCAATTACCGGATTAATTGCAGATTCGTCAAGGTTTTCAGTTTCACTATTATTTAAACTTTTAAACGGATCAAATACTAAATTATTAATTCTGTCCATATCAATCTCTGATGTTGAGTTTTCAATAGTTTGTAAAAAATCAGGATTATTTAGGTTATTAAACGGAAAACAGGATTCCAAACATTGATGACATGCAAACGAATCATTATTTGATATCACATTTTTTAGGTCATTGATTCTAATCTTAGTGCATCCTGTTTTTGTGTGAAAAATGTTGCCACATATATAACATTTAATTGACTTATCAGTAATTTCCAAGTTGCACGTGTAGCGGTATGTTTCTATTGTTTGATCATTATATATAGGCATTTAGATTGGTTTTTGATTAAAGTTCCTGCTGAGTAGGTATATATACTTATTAAAAAACAGGTAAACATCGTGTATATTATTGTAGATATCTAAAATTAAAGTTTATTTTATGGCGCATTTTCCATGTCAAAAATAACATTGTGTGTGCAGATTACTTTATGGCATTTGGAGATGTCATTATGTAATTTCAGCATTGCTTTATGGCATTTGAAGATGTCATTATGTAATTTCAAACCTTACATCTAACGATCACTTGCACACATAACGATCACCTGCACACATAACGATCACCTGCACACATAATGAACACTTGCACACATAACGAACACTTGCACACATAATGAACACTTGCACACATAATGAACACTTGCACACATAATGATCACTTGCACACATAATGAACACTTGCACACATAATGAACACTTGCACACATAATGAACACTTGCACACATAATGAACACTTGCACACATAATGAACACTTGCACACATAATGAACACTTGCACACATAATGAACACTTGCACACATAATGAACACTTGCACACATAATGAACACTTGCACACATAATGAACACTTGCACACATAATGAACACTTGCACACATAATGACGAATGCAACTGCTGACCATATGATCGCGCATGCATATATGAAAAATTCAAGATGGCGGAGATAAAAGAAATGATTGCTGGACTCCTTAGAGATATTTATCGAAAACTGACTGATAGAAACTTCAGACAAGATGAGCTAGACCATATATTTTTTACTATTGAAAGAGTGGAACATATTTTAGCACTTTGTAGTCAAATAATGTACATAGACGAAAGGATATTCCCCTTGCTGTCGGAAGCAAAGCTCCTAATTGGGCATGGAGATCAGCTGCAAGGAACTAATGAAATGTGCTTTCAGTCAGAAAAAAGTTGCAACGGAAATCGAGGAAGACCTCATTATTGTATAACTAAGCAGCAGTTGGAGTATTTTATTCATTTTGGATTCAGAGCTCCCGAAATGGCTTCCATGCTTGGTGTCAGCGAGGCAACTTTGCGGAGGAGACTTAGAGATTGCGAATTGTCTACTGCTCAGCGTTTTACTCGTCTATCCGATGAGGAACTTGACAATATAGTGAAAGACATAAAAATTGAGTTCCACAACAGTGGTTACAGAATGATAATTGGACTGTTGCGGGCAAAAGGGTTGCATATCCCACAGCGTCGTGTAATAGAGTGTTTAAGGCGAGTTGACATCGAGGGAGTAATTGCAAGAACACTACAACTCGGAATCATTTTTCGACGAAAGTACCATGTGTATGGACCCAATGCATTGTGGCATATTGACACAAATCATAAGTTAATAAGGTGAATATTTGTATTAAAATCAACAAAAAATCATTGCTGTTGCCTTTGGTCTAATTTTACAACTGTAATATGTTCTCGTTACTGTTGTTAATTTGTTGTTAATCTAATGTATTTCACTGTTTTTTACAGGTGGAGATTGGTCATTCATGGTGGAATTGATGGTTTTTCTCGCCTTATCGTGTTTCTTAACTGCCACAATAACAACTGTGCAAGCACTGCTTTAGAAGAATTCCAATCGGCTGTTGGCAAATTTGGACTTCCAAGTCGTGTAAGGACAGACCAGGGGGGTGAAAATGTTGATATTGCAAGATTCATGCTGAGTCATCCTGAACGAGGTGAAAACAGAGGAAGTCACATAACTGGCCGCAGCGTTCATAATCAACGCATAGAACGATTGTGGAGAGATGTGTATTATGCTTGTAGTTTCAAGTATCATTCACTCTTTACCCACATGGAGAATGTTGGCATCTTAGACGTAACAAATGAAATCCATATGTTTTGTCTTCATTACATATATATTCCCATCATCAGACAACATCTTGTACATTTTGTTCAAGGATATAACAATCATGGTCTGTCAACTGAAGGGAATAAGACTCCTACACAACTATGGATTCAAGGAATGTTCAACATGGCAAACAGTAGTCACAGAACAGCCAGAGAGATGTGGGAACCAAGAACTGAAGTATGTACATGTATTTATTTGTTCAAAAAATACTTTACTTTACTTATATTAATTTCATCACTTGGTATTATTCTTTAAGAATGACATGATCTTATACGGAGTTGACTGGTCTGGCCCTACACCTTCACGAGAATGGGGAAGTATTGAGATGGAGTCAGTAGCTGTAACTGTTCCAGAAATTGTTCTACCCTTGTCGGATGACACTCTTGGGCAGGTATTGGAACATCTTCAAGTGATTAACCCTTTAGGGGAAACTGCAAACTTTGGAATAGATTTATATGAACAAGCAATTGAGGTAATTTCTAGATTAACTGCTTAAGTGAATATTTACTTCTGTTAACTCAAGCAACAACTGATATATTTGTAACTACTCTATTTGGAACAGAGAGTGACAGATAAAAATCCAGACAATCTTACTTATCAAGGGCAAATTATTGGACATTCATGTTTTTAAGGAAATTATTACCAACCAAATTTGACTTCCCCAAAACTAAAGATCATTTAGGCCTGTTTCAAACGATGCGTTTCTCATGTGCAGAACGCATTTGATTAGAAACAATAGATAGGGCATTTCGTCTGATTATCTATTGTTTCTAATGCATTTGGCACATGAGAAGCAAGACGTTTGAAACAGACTTTATTCTTGTGCTGGGTTGTTACAAATATACACAAAATGTATTTTCAAACAAATGGCATCTCAACATTTTTTGGTATGAAGTGGTGAAGGGTGAGCATTATCTAATGCTATGCATGGTATAAGTTAAATTTACCAAAATTTTAGTTTAACCATCCAATAGACCAATTAAGAATTACAAATACACATTCAAGTCAGGATAAAATGTTTCTATCTTATTATAGAACACTATTTGCCTAAAAATAAATTATTTAAATGTGCAAAATGGTTGTTGAAAGTTGAAAGCAGTTTTTGCACGGTGTTATTGGTGTCTTGATCCAAATTAGAGAAATAGTCCCGTAAGTGCACCTGTTTCAGTTGCTTTTTTACACTGAGAGCAAAATATGCAGGTTGTATGACTAGTTTTAAAACTTAAATGGACAATTGAACTCAATAGCACCCTTTATTTTCATGTAAAAAAAACAGGAATTGTACACACATACAGTTCAATCTACAGAAACGTCACAATATTATAGTGCTATAATAACTTCAACTATTATATGTAATATATTCACCTAAAACATGCATGCCAGTATATAAGTTTGTTTCATGCCATCTGAACTTGAATATAGACATTAAGGTATAGTTAGTACCAATGCCATCCCATGCTAGTGTAACTATATGTGCATATTAATTAAGTAATAAAACTTCACATTGTTATAGGTGTGTTCTTACTGATCTTCTGTATAGTCATCCAAAAACAATTGTCACTAGTAATCCAAAAACAATTTAAACTACCGGTACTAAAAACAATGATAATAAACAACTTCAACTCAAGCGAAGAAGGTACAGTATGTTTGTACTCTAAAATCTACCATATCCTGTTGCCTGTGCCGACAGAGTTGCATCCATTTTCTTCTTAAAATCTGCGAAGCTACTGGCATTCACATGTAGAGAGAGAATGCCCAAACACGATTCGGGATCTGGCAGCGATTTTTCTTTCCTGTTGAACTTCACGTATACAGGTTGCGTTGGGTATTGTGGGCTTCCAAGGACAAATTGTAAAAACATTCCAGTGGTGGGAACATAATCATCTTCAGCGTGAACTTTGAAAAAAATGAGAGAATTATTCTCTAACTTTATATTTACACAAAATAAAATTTCAAATTCATTTCGAATTCCTTAATATGTTAGGGGTGCACCGGAACCAGTTTTTTAAGTTCCGGCTGGAACCGGATCCGACCGGAACTGGAAAAAAGTTCCGGCCGGAACCAATTTATTAAGCCATATATAGTCGTATGTTACTTTGTCCGCTGCCAGACAGGCAGACACTTCAAGGTGGTTGTACCCCTTTAAACCATTTTTTTTTATTTTTAAAGATAATAAAGTGAAAATATCATTTTCTGAAAGGGTTAGGTCAAGTAAAATGAACTGTGGAAAAAAAATTACCAAAGTCACTAATTACACTAATTATCCAATATGGCGGCTCTTAATTAGGCCATAATTGCCTAGCGTCGCAAACTTCATATCTCATTAACCAATTACCCAAATTTAATGAGTGATATATTTTTTAAAAGCTTAGGACCTCATCTATTATGTGACACTCTTCATTTTTTTCCAGAATTCATTAATAAAAAATTTTAGAGCCAAAAATGGAATTTTGCATTATTGGTACTTTTAATTGAAATATTTATGATGTAATTTGTTAATAATTCATCAATAATGGACAATGTTGCAATTTGAAGAGTGTCACACAATGAACAATGGTACAGACTATAGATGTGCAAAGTATCAAGCTTCTATAATAAAAACCTAGAAAATTACATGGTTCCAAGTATTGCTGACACACGTCAAATTGCCAAAAAGAGAAAATCCACTTTAAAAGTTTCATTTACAGTTAATGTACCTTATAAAGCTTCAGAAGCCCCCTACTTCATACATAACACCTACTTTCTCTTCAGCCTCATCTATATACTTTTTTCTCAGATGCCCTATTGTGTTTTTCATCTACTTTTAATTGTTTCTCTGCTTTCTTTTGGTGAGAATGTAATTTGTGATTCATCATATACGATTGGCATGTCCAGCATGGTTGATCTTACAGTGGCAACTAGCTTTCCACTCTTGATATTTTGGGTTGTTTTCTTTCTTTTGCCATTTCTGACATTTATCTGACAGTATTTCATGTTCATTAAGGCATTTCTTGGTATCTAATGATGGCGGAAACAACACCATTGTGCGACACATGGTCTTGTCTTTGCCAAGTTCCATCAAGGGAAATTCCACATTCGCCTTTGTCATTTGCACAAGTCTCTTTAACAATCATGGTATTGTTTAGCATGCTGTCATTTGCCAACTGTTTCACAACAGGCAGCAGCTTGTTTAGCATTTTTGTAATGTTCCAGTTGGATTATGGTGATTCCGTGATGGCATGTTCATGACTTTGGCATACTTTGGTGAATGTTACCATAGTATTATGGCCTCGACCAATTTCTCTGAATGCCAGGAGGCTGGAGGCCAAGGACATTAACTTCATATGATGGCCCCTTGGTTTTGTGAAGTATGGAAGCAGCATTTCCATTCACACTCCATGTTATAACATTGCATGACAATGTAATGCGAGAAGCTATTCTTCTTTTTCAAGTCAACATGGGAAGTCATGTTGTTCCCACACTCAAGGCAATGATTTCAGGACTTGATTAAAAACGCCAAACAGAACTAACAAGTCCATAAATATAGTACCTGCTTTAACATAGTCAGTATGACCAGGATTGTAGCCAAACTTTACACTTACATCGTCTATTTTCATCTTAGATGGCCTAGGGTTTTGATCAACATGGTTCGCCGCCATCTTGAATTTCGTGGCCTTCTTTGACGGTGAATTTCTTGCCTTTTTTCTCTTTCTATTTCGATTATTTCCAATATTTTTATCGATAATCACAAACAAAATAACAGAACGATACTAATATTCAACAAAGAACAGTAATTTTCGTCTAAATAATCAGAAATAACAAAGATTTTCGACGCTATGTTTACAGCCAGAGCTTTGCGAATGACCGCGAAGTTGCTATGAAAAAAGGGGTTGCCATGTACATGCAAAATGAACCAATCAAATTGCAGCTAACAAAAAGGACCTTAAAAAGCATACATCAAAAGTAGAAACCACAAAAGACTCGGTTTTTTTAATAATTCATGTAAATTTTGGATAAAAACTCGTTGCTAAGGTGTTGCTAGGGAGAAAATTATGGATCATGACCACTTTAAAAGCATTTTTCGCATTTAATAAATAAAAATTTCATAAAAATAACTATAAATTCTGAAAGTACAATACTTAAAATATATAAAACACACTAAACCAAAATTTTGAAGAAATTTTGTAAAATTACTTAATAAAGGGATACAACCACCTCAAGTCATCAAGGAGAGAGCTGAAATGACACTTCAAGTCATCAAGGAGAGAGCTCAAATGTTAGAATAAAAAGATTGACAAACGTTAAACGTCATAATGAAGTGTTAAAAGTGTACATTTCCCGTGTGTAGTCCAAATTTCTTCCTACTGCGACTCTCTGTTAGACACAAAAACGTTTGATACTCTATCTCTCTGAAAACGACAGAGTTCCGGTTCCGGTCATGCTTTCTTTATTAGTTCCAGCCGGAACCTGGAACTGTAAAAAAATGGTGCACCCCTATAATATGTAGAAGCAAATATCATGTACCTGTTTACTAATGTTTCCGTTCACCATACTACTATGCTAATTGTTTCATAAAAAACTGTTTCTATACTATAAGTAATAATTTACTCATTAATTAATATGTACAGTAAATGTACCTGGTAGGCATCTAACATATTCCTTGCACCATTCAAATGCTAATTTCTCCTGTTCGTTCAAATCGTCTTGTTTAACACTGGAGTGTAACACCAATTTCTTCTCTAAACTTTCAGCTAACACGATAACTTGACTTGATTGTGGAAAAACATGTGATGAACCCCATAATTCTTTATTTCTATTGAGGAACATAGCCAATTGTATTGTTTCCATTCCGCGTCTGATGTCATCCATTTCTAGTTTTCTAACGATGAGGGTATGGTGAAGCATTGCGGATTCAAGTGCTGCATCCCTGTTTGTGCTTGTCAATAACTTATTCACAAATCCAGCTGCAGTAAGCATTGTAACAATAGCCTCATTTTCATTGAGTTCCTTGAACATCTCATCTGTGTTAGCATCTCTTACCTAATCAACATGTTAACAGTTTTTTGTAAATATACTGTTGTGAATAGCTGAAATCGCAGTCAAATCACTCAATTAGAGTAGTGGTCTGGGGCTATTATATTCTTAACTAAAATTTGTTACCTGCCATAAACCATGTTTTGTGCATCCCATTATCTAAAGCATAAATATATGTATACTAGTGTAACATACAATACCTTTTCAAGCATTTGCCGTATTTCATAGTCTGGAACATCTTCTATGCTAAGAAATGGAATTGCTTCATAAATGGAACCTGTTATAATGTATGCTACTGCTGCTTTTGATAGACCAACAAGTGGGTATCCATCATGTAGAAATGAGTGACTGATCATGACTCCTGTGTAGTAAAATAGCATGGAATCCAGTGACTCAACACAGTGAATTGGCATGAGATGATCGTTTTGCCCTTCAAACAATTGAATCGAGGAATCCCCTGCTGTTAGAAGGCTCATTGACAAATGGAAGTATTCCCTCGTAGGACCTGATGCATCTGTGCCATCTTCCCCTTTGAATTCAACATCTGGGATTGCCCTTATATTGAGTCCCTTCTTGTGTAATTTAAAAATGTCTCGCAGAGGTCTGGGACTATGATGATCAATCACAATGGACTGCATTGAATTACTATTTAACCAGCGATGTTTGAAACTACTGAGAGTGACAGGTAATGGGGAGTCAAATACCGAGGCCATAAGATCATCCTCATCATCATCTAAATCCACAATAGCAATAGTCAGCCATAATGCCAAGATTTGTTTTACACTAATTTAATAATTACTTCATTTTGATCAATGAAGAATTACTTCATTTGATCAATGAAGTACAACTGTATTTTCAAATGGAAATTTCATTTGAACGCAATTGAAATGACATAATTTAAATTATTAATTTGTGAAGTGTATTTTTTATACATAAACAGTACACAAATGTGAAATAGCTCAAGCTTTGAGCTTAAATACAAAGGGTAGTAGGCCTAGAAATGATATTTGTCTTCCTGGCAACAAAATCCCAAAATAAAATTCATTCGTAACTTTCTGCATTAGGTAGTAAGGTTTAGGTACTGTATTAGTGCCGCACATGGTGGTAAAATTTAATCTTCACACAAGACATTTTTGATTTCAAAAATGGATTTGGAATTTATAAACAATGAAATTATATGGCATTTTAACATTGCATATAAGATGAAACAAATCCTGCAAAATGTAAGAAAAGGAAGTGATGTGTTAATATTTCCGGGCAGCACTGTTATTAACCATGCATGCAGGCCTGCATGTTGACTGCTGTGGTCTTCCCCGGATTGGCAAGGGTGTGCAGTTTCATTTAATATGGCAATATGGCTAGTTTGCTCAAGGTCAATGTTCTTGTTATATTTTTCCAGTATCATCTACAAGAGTTCAAGCATTTTGTATTCTTCCCTACTTATGTGCAGCCAGACATTATGAGTCTATTATGACATTATAATTATGAGTTATTATAGTTCTTAGTTACGTTTACTTCCACAAATAGCTTTCGCTAATAGTAATACCAGAAACGTCCAAAAAAGATCATGATAGTCTTCAAAAACGTTTTAGATGAACAAGTACATGAATTCATAAGAGGTATATTGCCCTGTTTACTGCAGTTCTCAATGTTGCCATGCTTGGGGCTTGCACTACTTCAGATGGTAACATATTCCAATTGAAATAATAGTTTTTCTGTGCCTACCTAAAAGAGCTGTGACTGTTCCCTCCACTGAGCCTATTTCAGAAAATTTCCTTTGCACTTCTCTGTAGCTCTTATCAGGAAACATGTCTAGTATAGATGCCAACTTCTGTGAATCATCTGGATTCTGTAATTCAAATATTTCAATAACGACTTAAAAAAATAAAATAAAATAATTTTATCACTGTTATATGTATATATATGTATATGTATATATGTATATGTATATGTATATGTATATGTATATGTATATCTATATATATATATATATGTATACGTATACGTATACATATATATATACATATATATATATATAACAACTCGTTAATAATTCATGAGGAAAAGACGAAGGAAACAACATTTCTTTTTAAAATTACACCAATGAACTCATCAGACGGGTCGTTTTTTAGCCATTTAAAACACTTGCAGTCAGTGTGTCATCAGATATTAAAACACTTGAGCTGTGCTCTCGTGTTTTACTCCTGCTTGTGTTTTAAATAGCATATATGGTCATATATGAATGTTTTACATGTAGTTTAAGTGCCTTCCGAATAATGTGTATTTACAGTTGTTAGGTCTACCACATCATTTTTTATGGGTCTGGATTCAGTCGATTCAGTATCCACAACTTCATTATCAGGAGATGTTGATTCAATCTCTACACTATAAAAACAGTAAAATTACAAAACGTGCAAGACATTGTTAATGTAACACACTTTACTGCTTTAGAATTTGGATATCATGTAATATGTTACCTTTGTTGTGGACTTGTTTCCTGATTAACCTAGAAGCCACACAACATTGATATTATATATACATATTAACAATTATTATATATAGACAACTACCGGATATGATCCATTCTGCAATTTGATTGGCTCTCTACTAGCAGGATATTAGATTATATCCAAAGTAAACAGCATGTTATTCACTTTTTTTAGCATTAACTAAAATAAAAATACTTCTACCGATTGTTTATAAGTTTGTGGAAACACCAGGTAAATTTATTACTGCAAAGCTTTCGATCCATAAGCCCAAATCTTCATCAGTGCTAATAATATGTAAAAACACAGTAATACATAGTTTTACATTTAACAAATATAAAACATTTTCCGTGTTGATATAGAGTTATATCAACACGAGTGGAATTGGGAAAACGAGAAATTGTATGGAAACACGAAGGGCGGAGTGTTTTCATACAATTTCGAGTTTTCCCAACTTCCACGAGTGTTGATATAACTATATATCAAAACGGAAAAATGTTTTATATTTTTTTTATAATATAGCAATGTCAAAAGCCCGAAAGATAAGAACAATTTCCATGTTTACAAGCGGCGGAAAATTTCCCGTGTTGACATTGAGTTATATCAACACGGCTCTTAGCCAATCAGCGTTAAGAATTTACAAATGCTATATTATAAATATTATTAGCACTGACGAAGATCTGGGCTTATGGATAAAAAGCTTTCCAGTGATAAATTTATGTGGTGTTTCCAGAAACAAAAAGTAAATTATATGTTTTATCGCCGTGGGTTAACTCATTAAGCTGCACAGCCTCCCCATTAACAAGTAAAATCATCTGGCATTAGACGAGTAAAAAAAAAATAAGTAGGGCGCATTGTGGCTGAATGGGTAATTTACCAAAAAATCTGATGTCTCTATTAAGTTAACACATCGAGCTGCAATGCGCCCCACTGTGCACCCAACTTATTTTTTTACTTGTCTAACGCTAGACGATTTTACTCGTCAATGAGAAAGCTCTGCAGCTTAATGGATTAAAGAAATAGAAGAAGTTGTTTATTAGGTTTAGGGCAAGTTGTGTTGATTGATAAGGTTATCAGCTCACATAGCAGTGCCGTAGCAAGCTCGATAAATTGGGGGGGGGGCTCGTATTCATATATTCGTGTTCTGCGTTTATATTAATTTCTTTTGAAAGCGATTGTTTTTATGGTCTGTGAACACGAATATATGAATATGAGCCCCCCCCCCAATTTATCGAGCTTGCTACGGCACTGCACGATACGACTCGAGTTCGCAGAATAACTGTTAATTATTTCACTTTCGTGTCGCTGAATAGTGCAAGGATATCATTATTGATATCAAAATATAAATGACCAAAAAACAGTGGAAAATTTTTTATTAATTAATTAATTACTTTATGGTTTCCGTGTTTGGATGGCCTGATCCAAACACGGGTTTCGACCAATCAGAGCAGGCATTATATACATGTTATTTTATAAATATTTTTAATTAAAGAATACATCTACACACTGTTAGATTACACAACACTTTGTGGCTTTCTTTGCCAGTTGGGTGAAGCCGTAGGTTTGTTTATTAGTGCAGAAATTTGCTTGTCTGAAACCGGAACAAATCGGGAAGCCATTTTGTTTTTTTTGTCCAGATGTGAATAGTACAAGGATATCTGGAGCTGAGCAGCCAATCAAATTGCGTGAAGAGCACTATCCACCTCCTGAGTATATATGTTATATTTATATAAACAATATCATTATCATGGCTATTTACTATTGTTATCTTCAATAATAATTATTGACAGTATCTTTAGTGTCACACACATTTTTTATTACCTCTATCTTCCCACTAGGTCCTCCATTACATTCTTCTTCATGTTTGCGAAGAGCAGGTATAGGTATTATCTCTCCACAGTTAACACAAGTTACTGATGGTGCACTGTTCAAGTCAATTTTCCCACCAGGCTATAATGATTGAAAGCTACTTTAAGGCATTCAGTCCATGTAACACATAATACCATATTAGTTGTCACTTGTCACTGGTACTAAGGGAAACAATAACCCTGAGATGGTTTTTGTTAATTTAATTAAACAATTGGTGGTCTAGGGGCAAGATACACTGTTTCTAAAATTCAAATAAAGTGATGTTTCGGATGTTATGACATTGACATATTAAAAAGTAATTAAATGCTATGACGTCATGCCAATGACGATTGCCAAAAAATGAGGAATGTGTTGCAACACAAATAGCTTCTTACAACTAGCAACAGTTCAAGCTTACAAATAAGAATTATCAAGCAAAAGTTCGTATTATCAAGCTTCATCTTGATAATGCTTGATAATTCTTGATATCATATAAACTGAATTCAATAAGTGTTATTTTTGACTGTTGCACTCCCCCCCCCCCTATTTGTGGAGTGATATTAAAGTTTTGCCCAATATTAAACTTTGATACTTGTATTAAATATATATATATATATATACAGGTACATATAACAAGTTATTTTACATACTTGTTTAAAGCAAGCTGATAATTGCAGATTCTTTTGTAACGGCCTTATATAAGCAATGGCTTGGCCAAGTGCATATTTTAATGCGGGCACAGTATATCCTACAGGAGGAATAGGGATGACTTGCAACATTCTTCGAGATCCACCTGACCTAAGAATCTCAAATGCCCCTTCGAGATCTTTTAACGAGGGATACTCTTTTTCCAATGTAGTTTTAACATGCTGAAATGAACCGTTCTTGTCGCTGAAAATTAGTTTCTTTTCTCCGAGTCCCCCTTCTTTTAAAACTCGTTTCCTTTCTTTGGATGGTATTTGATCTTCCTCGATATCAGACAAGCAAACAAATGTATGTGTCCAAGACTCCTTTGGCTTAAATTGCATATAAGGCGAATTTCTTTGACGGCTGTTTGTAGCACGACCACGAGACCCAAAGAAAGGAAACAGTCTCGACATTTCTGTAGGCCTTAGAGTAGGTGTCAATGGTGTCATTGGTGTTTTGCTTAAAGCAGATGGTGCAGAAAGACATGTACTTGACGGCGGAGTTGACGCTGCTTTTGGAGTAGAATGTACGCTGCTACACGATCCTGTTTGTTGATTGCCTGAAGTATTTTTCAACACGTCAAGTGCTTGATTTATAAGATTAACAGCTTGATCGTATGGTGTGTTTTCGCTTCCTTCTTTCTCCATTTTGTTTGCACGAGCCACGAGGCTGCTTCTTGCAGGCGGCTGTAAGTAAGTGCTTCCACATTGTATTTTTAATTTCCATATATTAAAAGATATTTAACAAAATTTCAACAGCTGGGAAATTTGATGCGCATGCGCCAGATTAACCAAAATTCCATTGAAAATTTCCATAAAATTACTAATGCTATCCCAAATCATCCCAAAATATCACACGTACTCAGTCCAGTGAACTCAGTCTAACCCAATCTCGTACCCAGAGCAATGCCTGTGCGCGGGCCCAGGATGGCATTGGCTCTGGGGAAATTGACAACCGGAACCCCTAAATTTAGGGGTTCCGGTTCTTTGTCGGCATGCACGATTGATAAACGTTAAACCAATCACAGCACAGGAAAAATTCAATTTCCCAGAGCCAATGCCATCCTAGCCCGCGCACAGGCATTGCTATGGGTACGAGATTGAGTCTAACCATGTTTCAACGTTTTGAAATTTGGGCTTGGGTATACATATCTAGGAGGGCACTAGGTCCCATATTATGTGTAATATTATCATATATATATATATATACATGTATACTTCTCATTGAAAATTGAATTAATTGGACTTTTAACGCACATTTATATAGTACAATTGACAATATTTTTTAGATACTGAAATTTCCATAATTTTTCCAGTTCCACCAAAAGTTCTATTTCACAACATTTCACTTAAAGTGGAAGTCAAATCCGTATGTAAACAAACGGTTTGTTTACATTTTGAACTGCTGTATTTTTTAAAATATGATGTACTGTCTGAATATCTAACACCATTTTGGTTCGCTATGCTTCTAAATGAATATAGAGTTTATGTTCAGAAAAATTCGAAACATTCGAAATTTGGGCATTGTTTACATTAGAGGGACTCACCATAGAGATTATAAATAACACTTGAGGAGGCATTGTAATCTTAATTCAGTCAAAAAAAAAAGAAAACGCGGCTATTGGGGAGGGGGGGGGATTTAAGTCCCGGATGTGTGTTCATGTTTCCATTGGTGACGAGTTTCAAATCAGCCAATCAGAGCACGATTTTATATCCGGGACTTGAATTTGCCCTCATTAGCTGCGTTCCCAATTTTTAACCTCGATGCCTCCTCTAGTGTTATTTATAATCTCTATGGTCCTCACATTGTTATGAGCAGAACCGATGCGCAGAACGTGTTGACTTCCACTTTAAAATATATATAATATGGAAATTTCAATCAAAGTGGAAGCACAGATTAACTTACACGGAATGTCGACCACTGAGAGGTCGACTCGGCCAACGCTGCCACGCCATGATTCGTCATCAAAATGCTGATGCCGTTTGCCCCAGCCATTGCGCTTACAAGAAGCACCCCCATTAACAATATGTTATATAGTTCAGTGGCATTATCCCCCCTGGAGGTCCGCCATTTTGAATATTATCAGGGGGATGAGGGCCTGTACGCCTGTACCGGGTTCCGAAATCCCGCCATCCCGACCGATTTTCACTTCAAATCCCATTATCCCGCAATGCCTCATCCCAATTTCCCGCTCCCGACATTTTTTCTAACACTGTTCAACGTATTATGATTTAAAGAACATGGTAACGACATAAAACACAATTTGAATACATTAGAATACAATACAACAAAGTTTAAAATAATAAATGACTCTGAATCGCGATTCTTATGAAAGCAGCAATCATACATGTAAATGGGGGATTGATGGGGGAGAAATGTTCGATATCATCCAGGAAAACAGTACATTTCGAGCACACAAACAAATGACAACAGATCAGGTAACGTACAGCTACAAGTTTTGTTGTTTTATCCCGCTAATCGTGGGTTACTTCCCGCATATCGCCATGGTATTTTTATTAATCCCGCTTCCCGCAATGGAATAAATCCCGCTTTCCGCCAATATTTCTATTAAAATCCCGAATCCCACTTCAATTTTAGACGCATCCCGCAAAACCGGTACAGGCCCCTCGGGATATGCGCACAGTCTAGGATGACGAATTATGGTTACGCCAAAATCATATGAAAACCCCCCACCTCCTCCGCTGGCCATACAGCCCGTAACGAGTATGCCCGTTCGCAGGTTGAAATTTTAGACCCACCAATTTTATATTTTTGAAAGGCCTGCGGAGGAGAGGGTCCTGAAGGGGTAAAATGGGAACTGGGATTTGCTTATTTTTGGGTTGGAAAATGGGATTTCATGCACTGGGACTGGGATTCATCAGCAAAAAAACAATAGAAAATGGGAATGGGATTAAGATTTGAGCAGGACAGCCACCGAGATGATGGGATTTGTGCTCTGGGACAATGGGATTCAGTCAAAATTTGGGCTGGGAAATGGGAATACGACCCCCCCTTTCAGGACCCTCGGGGGAGGTAGTGAAAAACCAAGAAGTAGGGCTTCCGTATAGTCTCTCTTCTGCTGTGGAAGAACGAAGTCAGGTAAGTTGTAAGTACTTCATCTTGCAAGGATATAGTGGACCAGGATAATATCCTTTCGTCTATGTACATTATTTGACTACAAAGTGCTAAAATATGTTCCACTCTTTCAATAGTAAAAAATATATGGTCTAGCTCATCTTGTCTGAAGTTTCTATCAGTCAGTTTTCGATAAATATCTCTAAGGAGTCCAGCAATAATTTCTTTTATCTCCGCCATCTTGAATTTTTCATATATGCATGCGCGATCATATGGTCAGCAGTTGCATTCGTCATTATGTGTGCAAGTGATCATTATGTGTGCAAGTGTTCATTATGTGTGCAAGTGTTCATTATGTGTGCAAGTGTTCATTATGTGTGCAAGTGTTCATTATGTGTGCAAGTGTTCATTATGTGTGCAAGTGTTCATTATGTGTGCAAGTGTTCATTATGTGTGCAAGTGTTCATTATGTGTGCAAGTGTTCATTATGTGTGCAAGTGTTCATTATGTGTGCAAGTGTTCATTATGTGTGCAAGTGTTCATTATGTGTGCAAGTGTTCATTATGTGTGCAAGTGTTCGTTATGTGTGCAAGTGTTCATTATGTGTGCAAGTGTTCATTATGTGTGCAGGTGATCGTTATGTGTGCAGGTGATCGTTATGTGTGCAAGTGATCGTTAGATGTAAGGTTTGAAATTACATAATGACATCTTCAAATGCCATAAAGCAATGCTGAAATTACATAATGACATCTTCAAATGCCATAAAGCAATGCTGAAATTACATAATGACATCTCCAAATGCCATAAAGCAATCTGCACACACAATGTTATTTTTGACATGGAAAATGCGCCATATTATTTAAACATGCAGGATTGAACGGGTCTATCAACGTGTCGGAAAATACCTCTGGTCATTTATATACAACTTGTCTCTGATCATGACTGCTTTTGATCCGTTTTGTCTTGCCTCTTTCATTATTGGGTATAGCTTTTTCCTTTCCTCTGCGATTTACTTGGGATACTGCTCGGATATTCCAATCTTGGTACCTTTTAGCTTTTTGCTGTTCTTCCGGATAAGTTCCTTATCTTTGAAGCGGAGGAATTTCGCAACAATAGGTCGCACCGAACCCAACCTTTTTTTCCCAATTCTGTGCACCCTTTCGATTTCCATCTTCTTGAATTCGGGATTGATCTTCTCCAATACCTCTGACACCACTTTTTCAGGATTTTCTTCATCATTCTCAGGTAGATTGTAAAACATAAGGTTACTCCTCATGCTTCGTGCCCTGAGGTCAATTAGCTCTTCTTTAAGGGTTGACGCCAACTTCTCGAGACTGCCTATTTTTTCTTCATTTTTCAACAATATATCATCATAGGAGGTTTGTTTTAACTTCAATTCTTCAGTTGTATCGTGCATATAAGATAGCGAGTGTTTCAGTTCAGTGATATCGTGATCCACGTGTTTTAAATGCGCTTCGATTGATTCAAGCTTGTCCAGTTTCTTGTTCATACTCTCAACTAGCTTAAATAGCGATTCTAGATCCCATTTTTTTTCGACCACTTCGTCATCAACTTCTTTTTTCTGTACCTTAGTACTTGGCTTAGTAGGAGTACTCAAAACAGAATTATTTAATTCTTTTGCGGAGCGTTTATTTTTTGCTACCGACATTGTGAAATCTGACACTGTATGAATGATGAGTGTGGAGATGTGGTTATAACAACCATATAGCCTAGTGGTTAACCAATCAGAAACAAATTTAAAGAGAGGAATAAATATAGAAGAAACAATACAGATTGGATGCTGATGAAACAAAGATGGAGGAATGTATTGCCTTATAATAACAATTCACATTACTTAAGAGCACAAGTATTGTTTATGAGTTGGAATAATTTGATTGAGTTGAGAATAGTTTGATTGACTTGGGAATATTATCCAGTGCTGGTCGAGAGTCAGAAAATTATGTCCTTATATAGCCACCTATAAAATGTTTTCTAGTTCTATTTCCTGTAGCTACTTTATATATTTCATTATCTTTTTGTATGGATATATAATAACTGCTTTCAAGCCATGTGAACAAAAATGTAGTATAGCAGTTTTAGCATTCTGGCTAAAATAGTTATCTGGCCAACATTGAGATATAAATACTGATAGTTTTGGTGGAGATAACATTACCATCATGTAACATAGTCAGGGGAAAATGCTCTAATCCTTACATCTGCTTTGTTTTGGGAGTTTTATTAGATGTTTAACAATATGAATGATATTACATGTATTGCATTTTATTATATTATATTGTAGTAAAGTATGAACATCTGGTCATTAGTGTGGTATAAAGCAATATGCTATTTATATTTAATTTTTTACAACAACTAGGTATAACAGTAATAACACTTTTGTCTGGGTGGCTAATTGATGCCGTGCAACAGATACTGCCAAGATGTGGTTCACACCAGCAACTTTCTACAAGATTTGTATTGTAACTATTGTTCACACTAGCAACTTTCTTCAGGACTGTAATCATGATGTTTTTCAAATAACTGTCACAACAGAAAATACAGTTACTATTGTATTTTCATCAATGTTCCTACATGTATCATGAGAAAAAATTTGCCAAGAAAATTGCTAGTGTGAGTAAGGGTTAATGGCAATGTTTAGAACATCTGACTCGAAACAATTTCTTGGAACAACAGTATTCTACATATACAATGTTATCTTGATCTAACAGAGCACATATTTTCTTCCTGTCGGCATGGGGAACACAATGTCTACAGTTGCAGCTGTCCAGATTTTGGTGGGTGTAGCCATGAATATGGTGGTGGTGATGTGCAAATTGTCCTCAATTTTTCCATGAATGAGAACCTACAGTATCAATGTTTCCAAAAAAAAAATTTACATGGGGTTTATACCCTTTATAAAGATTACACTATGCATTTTTTGAAGGTTCACAAACAATCATGCCATGTCATTCAACATAGTACATTTTTGTCCAGTGCAGTAGTGATATTAATTTTAATATGCAATCACACAAAAGTGCTATAAAATATACAACAATGATTGAATGTATGGTCAGCAGGACTGGGTCCCATGTGAAAACCAACATACAGTACAATCATATCCGATGTAAACAAATATATACTGCTACCAAAAAGTTCATCTGGAGATGCCTGATTATGAATTACAAAACAATAATCATCCAATAACTCAATCCCAGTAGCATTTTGATAACAGCTCGTCATATAAAGATGAAATCAGTTTTATCCTTGACTGAATCTAGTACTAAGCCTGAGGTGATTAAATTAGATTTCAAGTAATATTAGTCTATACATGTCTTGAACAAGTTGAACTATAAAACTCAGAGATCCCATATTTTCTCAGACAGTAAATTAATAAAATTGCCCTAACTTAAAAATTGTCACAAATTCACAGGGAATTAGAGATCCAGTCTCGACTCAGGAGAACGAAATAATCAAATGTATAAACAAATATTTACCTTTATATGTACGACATGGCGAAGCGCTTGACTGAATTTCAAATAAACACACTTTAAAGGCATCCTTGTTGGCGTAATATTCTTTCCTTCTTCTCATATTGTTTCAATGATTTGTTATTAATCGGATTTCACTTCATAAAAGTCATAAATCGTTGAAAATCTCTTTGAAACTGTGTATTCCCACTCCTTGTATCAACACTATAATATATAGAATCGCGCGTATATTACGCAATCGGACTGGAAACCATGGAAACGAGAGATAAGTAGTCTACCAAAACAAAAAGAATCGCACATGCGCAACACGGACTGTAACCCGTCTTTAATTATGCACTTATAAATTATAATAATTTAAGTAATATATTTCAAAATGTATTTAAAACATACGGCAGTGTGTAACATTGTTAAAAAGCATGGCTGGCTGTTCTTTCAAAGCCATCGTTGAGGAAGATCTCCAGGAAGACACTGATGAGACTAAGGTTAGTTTATTATACAGTATATGTAAATTTTCTACTTCTTTATCTACATTTAAATAATTTCATGAACTATTTATAGCCGCAAGCACACATTAATATTGCACAACAATATGTAAAAATGTAAAAAAAGCTCACAAAAAATGAGAAAATTGTACACTCGTACACTTTTTTGGAGTGATATGCCCCTTGAAATTAAAATACTTTATAATACTCAATTAAATGATAATTTCTAGAAATGTGCAGTATGTTTTAAAGAAGCAACAGAAGCACATCGATGCAAATTGTGCCACAGACCAGTGCATTTGCCATGCGGACAGCCAGTTGGCAATGAAGGATATGGGCACAAAGTTGTTTGCTTTGTGTGTGATAAAAATAAATGTTTTTTATTTACATTGGTCCGGTGGGGATAATAACATTTTAATTTTGAGCACTATGGTGAGCTTTACAAGATTGGTGTTATCAAAGTGTTTTGTAAACATGTGAATAAGGCTGCAAGAAACCAAGACGAGATATGTGACGTAACTATAACGAAATAGTCTTAAACCGTTACTTAATATTGATTAGCTAATTAAATTGTCAATTTGCAATTGGCAATTATTGCATGCTTATCGATATGGATGATTTTTTGTATATTTTGAAACTCAGTGACTGTGTTTAGTCCGTGGAGAAATGAAATAGTGTCACCTTACACAACAAAACATTGACACCTGTATGCTCGCTCTATTCCAGGAAAAAACCCAAGGCCCCAAAACCTCCAGAAACGGCAAGTTATGTGGGATTGGAAGAAAGGATCCCCGAAAATCCCAGTAAAGAAGATGAAAATGGCAGACAATGAAGAAAAAAACGAAAAGTATGTTTGTCTGCAATGTTTGAAACAGTATTTGCAAGGAAAGCGTGATAAGGGTATCATTAAGGAAGCAGTCGCTCTCTATCTCCGTGGAGATGATGTGATTAAAGCCCACAAGAAAATCACGTTTTTTTCGGGCAGAGCTAAAGAATACTTTGTGTCAAAAGTTGTAGATCGTCATCATGCTGACAGTGGATGTTGTCCCTTTCTGGCTGACACTGAATAAATAAATATTTCCCAAGTAAATAAGTACATAATTCGATATTACATTTATTAAAGTACATATTTGCTAATGCTAGCATTAATTTAGGAAGTTAAAGTTCAACAAGTAAATTACAGGAAATCAGTGAGGTGCATGAATTCCACTTCATCACCAACATTCAAGTTGATTTGTAAATTACTGTACATTGCTGCACCCTGCAGGAGCTAAAATGTTGTAGTTCAGCAGAAATGCGAGACCAACTGCATGGTGTAGTTCGTGGGCATCATGTTATCCATATGAAAAGTACATAAAAATGCGATTATGATTTCACTGACTAACTTTAAGGCCTGATCAGTGCCCATTTTACAACTATAGCCTTTCATATCTCGTTTACATTTAGCTTTTACAATTTACAACTGTTCTTTAGTCACAACTACCTCCTTTTTAGTCCCAGCATTGCAGGCTTATGTAATACAGTTAAAAAGCCTGTATGCAGAACTATTATTATAAAGCACGTAATTTCGACTTGATTATGAAAATGTTCGCAGTTTAGGATTTCCCATTTCAAAAACTCATTAATAATTCATGATCTTTTTTGCCAACCAAATCAAGTATAATATATTACATGCAGCGGTTTCATATTTGATAAAACACTTCCTACTATATAAAGAATGCTAATTGGTTTTTGAAGCCGTTCAATACACTCGCAACTTGTGTTTTATTGTGTCTAAAACCACTCGCGCGTGTAGCATGGGCGGGGCTGCAAGCAGGCTATCTGGTAAAAATTCAATGAGCTTGGCGTTGTTTTCTGCCAAAATATAAATTAATTGAATCTGGCAGTCTGGCGGCGTGTGCGAATTTTCCAGCGGCGGAACTTCGGCGTGCACTCTACATGGAATGCACCCTGGAAAACGGCTTGTACACAAAATTTAAAAGCTTTAATCATATTTTGAGTTGATAGATGGAACATTTGTTGGGTTTATAATTACTGTACAAAATTTCAGACAATTTATATGCTGTCTTGCAAAATTTGCAAGTGATATTTTTAGGCGATTTTTCATTTGTAAGAATATTCTTAAAAAATTATCATGTTACCATGACAACTACTTTAGGTACTTGATGTTCGGAAAATACAATGGTTTGTCAGCAAGGTGAGGGTTTCTGCATGCATGTATTTTCTAGTTGAGTAATCTAATGTTGCAGTATCAAAAGAATGACAGTCCTTGTGTTTTGAGAACATTGTTAAACTGTATGGCTGTTCAAAGTTTGTCATTTGCAGGGATATTGATAAGTACAATTGCAACAAAAAACCTGAAAAGAATGAAAAAGGTTGACAGCAGGGGCATAGGAAGCATAAAAAAGTTGGGGGGAGGGTAATAATTGATAATAATTGATGTTTATTGAAACTCTCTTGAAGTATATTTACACTGAATTAACGAGTCCAAAGTATTACTAAAACTATATTTACATGAATACATACAACTGTTAAAACTATGTACCGGGTGTCCCAAAAAAAAGTACTCCGCTTTGATTTATAATAACTTCTAAACAAGTAAAGCTATCAAACAGAAATAACTTGCATTAAATAGAGGAAGGACTAACTTAGATTTTGATATGTTACAGTTGTATTTTACTTAAAAATTCACGGAGATATTAATGTTCAAAATCGGGAGCATATTTTGGGGGGTGTCTATAAAATTAGCGAAAATCGGCGTATCAAATTTTCACTCCAGCGTTTGTTTGCTTAATGACATATCAGGGTAAATTGTATTTCAGCGAATTGTCGTTAGGGTTTGTAAGGGATATGGCGTAGATTTAGACATCTTACATGTAAGTTTTAACTTATTGTTTCCTGAAATATGAACGTTCGAAATTATGTAAGTATTTAATAGGTCTTTGCAAACTTAAGGTACTGAAAGACCATGCAAGGCAGGCGCTTCAATTTTTCTTAAATAACCTATTTTTTTATGTTTTTCATGGGTTCAAAACAAAGTTGATTATTTCTCAGTTAGAGCAGGATTAATATTGTTCTTTAATGGAGGAAATAATATTGCTTTTTGCAAATACACATCACAGTATCAAAGCTACTATTTTGTTACGTTTTGTTCCAAAAATGTTGGATGTCTCTGGCGAGTTGCATGCTTGTTATGTCTTTACTTATGGAGTTGTATGGTTTGATTGTGTTTCATTCTCAGTTTATTCTGAACTTGCCAAGATTAAGAAAGGCAAAAGAGTTTGGGTGTTCTTAACAAGATTTCAGAACGTTGCAGAAGTTAGAAAATTCATTCAATGTGAAGTTAGAAAATTCACAATTCCAATGTGACAGCGTGCCCTAATTCAGAACTACGAACGATCCATGACGATCCTTCGCGATGCAGTAGTCTCATGAAATAAGGAAACGTATTCGTGCTAGGAACACACGCGGATTTCGGACGAATAAATCTTGCTTGTATTTTGTAGATAATAATACTTTGTTTCATAATAAACAATTTGTCAAGTGTCATTTATTTACAGGTAATAGTGCATGTTTCAGTCAGGCAAATCTTGATTAATATTTGATACGCCGTTTTTTGCATATTTCAGACACATCCAGAAATATGCTCCCGATTTTAAACATTAATATCTCTGTGAATTTTTTAGTGAAATACAACTGTAATATATCAAAATCTAAGTTAGTCATTCCTCTATTTGATGCAAGTTATTTCTCATTAAAAGCTTTACTTGTTTAGAAGTTATTACGAATCAAACCGGAGTACTTTTTTTTGGGACACCCGGTATATATATATATATATATATATATATATATATATATATATATATATATATATATATATATATATATAGATATAGATATATATATATATATAGATATAGATAGATAGATAGATATAGATATAGATATAGATATAGATATAGATAGATATAGATATATATATATATATATATATATATATATATATATATATATATATATATATATATATATATATATATATATATATATATATATATATATACCCTATATATATATATATATATATATATATATATATATATATATATATATATATATATATATATATATATATATATATATATATATATATATATATATATATATATATATATATATATATATATATATACATATACACTCAGAGTAACATCACACTTGTAAGCATCTTATTCACCTGAGTACATTACACCAACACAGCAAATATCATGATTATTAGATTACACTGATATCGAAGGAACTAGACTCAGTTCCGAAATATATAGCATACTCGAACTGACCTGACCGCATAGCTCAGTTGGAAGAGCATTGGACTAGTACTCCAAAGGTCGTAGGTTCGAATCCCACCGTGGCCAGGTATATTTTTCAAGCCTGCCTGGTGAGGATATACAATCAGAGTAACATCACACAAGCATCTTATTCACCTGAGTACACTACACCAACACAGCAAATAACATTTATTTATGCCACCTGCATGATCAGATGATCTGTTTAATAATATATGTAACAACCTTTGGGCTACATTTTATATATTTGAGATATACACCCGGCAAGGATTTGATGGTTTTTGGAATTATTACCCATTTCACTGATTCACTCCAATGAGCCCAATTTTCAGCACTTTGTTAAATGTTATCTTGCCTAATGCCGGACAATTTTATTTGTCAAAGGAAGTGTCTAGCTAGACTCTACCCATGTTTCATGTTGATATCAGGGCATTTTTTAACTATATAACTGGGGGGGCCAAAGCCCCCCCAGCCCCCATGGTGCCCCCCCCCCCACTCAACCATTTTGCCCCCCCCCAGTCAAAGTCCCTTTTCTCTAAAATATAAGCAAAACATGAAATTTAGAGGGGAGGTTTGATATTCTAGTAACTGAAATTTGCTTTGTGAATCTTATGTCCTGTCTTTTATGTTTAATAAATACCTTATTAGATTTTAAACATTTCCCAGGCAGTGGATTGCATTTCCCAGACCCTATAGATTTGAGTTGTTGGACAAGTTAGTGACCGCAGGGGGCAACAGGCCCTCAACCAAGTGTTTTATAAGGGGGGATAATTTTGCCCCCCACCCCCCACCAAAAAAAAAACAATTTGATTTCGAAACTAGAAGTATTTGAAATCATATATACATATAATCAAATATCTGTAAATATCGATATTTTGATAACATTTCTCGTAATAATCCATCATGACTCGCGGATATCATAGACTCGCAAATCCTAATGAACGAATTAATGAAAGGGCCTAACAAAAGACGTATACAAGACTTTGAAAATGCCATTTCCGACGATTTAGAGACGCAAATTTTTCAAAATTTTTTCGCTCTGTGCCAACCATGGTGGCGCTTTGTGGGAGTCGGGAACTCTAAGTTTATCAAGCTGGCTCCCTAAGTGACGGCCAAGTTGTGGTATCTACATAAACATACTATGCAAGTACTTAACTGAAGGTTCAGTCTATATCTACAGCATAATGTAATGCTGTATATCCAAAAATCTGTTTTAGAAAATGCAGGGAATTGCAGTCATAGGGGTAGAAATATACAAACATTTTCTGGGAGAGAAAACCCCAGACCTCTCCAGGGCCGTAGCAACCGCGGGGGGGGGGAGGGCTGGGGGGCTGCAGCCCCCAATAATTTGCTAATAATCATTCATTTTTCAAAATCATGCAGACCTTTATCATTTAATCCATGACAAACTTCAAAGAATGAAGATATTACCCATACTTTCCTGCAACTTATCCAAAATATCGTTAATTAAATACACTTGCGCCCATTTAGTACTACTGAACTCTAAATTTCCACATACTAAAAACGCTGTTTTTTGACAATCAGAAATCTGTCAAATCTTCCCCAAAGTCCAGGAAATGGCATTTCAGAGACTCTAAATTTAAAAATTTCCTCGGGCCTTCGGCCCTCGCTTTCAGCGCCCCCAAACGAAAGAAGCTTCCTACGGCCCTGCTCTCCCCCCCCCCCACACTACTATTAAATGCGATACCACACCAAACGTTTTGTTACCAATGAACCATCTATCATTGCTCCACACTCTGTATAGTATGGTCCCTTTTTGTAGATGGCCCCCCCATTGACGAATTCTTAAAAAATGCCCTGGTATATAAGGCCTTATTTATAAGATGGCGAGCGATCAGTGAAGCTGGAAGCTTGAAGAAACTACTTTGAGTTCCTTTTATAACAAAAGTGCTTTATAATTCGCTAAGAGAAAGGCTTAAGTATAGTCATGCATATATAGTTATTATGTACTCCGTCATGCACTGCAACATTTTATGAAAAGGAAAATCAAGTTACTTATTCTATATGACTATTGCATTTTAAATTCATCATATGTTATGTCAATCTATAGACAATTTAGATATTTACAGTACTCTGTAGTAAGTAAATTATAGACAGAATATTACACTAGCATAAGCGTCCAGGATTGATTTTAAGGCACCAAAACTCAAAAGGATGTGGTTTTTAATTGTATCTTTTGATGCCTATGCCTGCAGATTTTCTTGTTATACTACGGTATATATAAGGTCTATGTGTTCAGAGAGACAGCGACATAACGCCCAAATGAACGTTAAAGGGGAAGTCAAGTCCGTAATGTAAACAAACGGTTTGTTTACATTTTGAACTGCTGTATTTTTTAAAATATGATGTACTGTCTGAATATCTAACACCATTTTGGTTCGTTATGCTTCTACATGAATATGAAATAGAGTTTGTGTTCAGAAAAATTCGAAACATTCAAAATTTGGGCAATGTTTACCTCAGAGGGCCCTCTAATGTTATGCGCAGAACCGATGCGCAGAACGGACTTGACTTCCCCTTTAACTGTTCTTCAATAAGCCAATTCGAAGTTTCCATGACAATGCATTCAAATGACGCGTTTTGCGTCGGGATTAATTGCAGTTGAACTATAGCCTGGTTTCCATACGGTCGTATAACGCTCGTAATTAAACATTGAGTCACGAACTTCCGAAACACAACATTTACAGCCTAGACCTAGGCCTTCTATTTTTATCAGCGCTTTTTCACATGAAAAGACTGGGACTAGGTGATTTGGGGGCGGGGCGGAGGATGCGCAAGCGAAAAAATAGAAGGCCTAGTGGATATACTGTGGATTTCCCAACAACAAGGCCAAAACTGCCCTGAAACTGCCCTGGTTGCGAAATGCCCAATTATTGCGTTCTCAAACAGAATTATTTGCAACTTAACAGCGAATTTAAACCGATACAGGTAAAATAAACTCATTTATAGTATAAACTTACTATTTTTATTTGTATACACGCCTAGAAAATCGGGTTTTTTATCATAAAGTTTGAAGCAACACTATTATTATGTTGCGAAAGGTGAAAATGAGTCAAAATATTTAATAGTACAAAATAGAACTTAGTTTAGTCATAAAATGTTTTTATAGTTAATGTAATAACTAGACTACTGCAGGCAGTATAAATTGCTTTAGTTGTTGGTTTCTGATCAATTTTGGATCACAAAGTTATGGGGCTAATTTGAGAACTTGTGAAATCTACTAGGCCTTTACGAGGCAAATGAGGCAATTGATAAAACTAGAATAGTGAAGCGAATAGTGTGAATAGTCGACGAATAGTACGAATAGTCCGCGAATAGTCGACGAATAGTACGAATAGTCCACGAATAGGCGACGAATAGTACGAATAGTGCAATAGAGACTTTGCAAGGCTTTGCAGCAGTGCTGTAGAACTAAATTTACCGGGGGGGGGCTCTGTTGACAAACATGAAATCGTGAAAACATTCGTCGACGTACGTCAATGACGTCATACGTCTAGTGATTGTCATGATCAGTGGCGCCGTGGCCGGGGGCAGGGGGGCATGGCCCTCCCCTATTCTTGACACCCGTCGTAAAATTCCCAATGCTGCCGGAAATTGGCGGAAAATTGTCAAGGCTGTCGGAAATTGTCAAAGCTGTCGACGGGCGGGGGGGGGGGAGATTTAAAATGTTGTCCGGAAAACTTTTTGGTTTGTCGGAAAAATTTTTCGGTTTGTCGGAAAAGTACTGCCCTTGCCCCCCCCCCAAAAAAAACATGGGTCCCACGGCGCCACTGATTGTCATTCTATTTCCTGTTAAATATTTGTTAAAACTCAGTGGTCCCGTAATTTTTACCGATTACGTATGACGTCATTGACATCAACGAATGTTTTCACGATTTCATGTTTGTCAATAGAGCCTCCCCCCCCCCGCCCCGGTAAATTTAGTTCTACAGCACGGTGGAAAGCCTTGCAAAGTCTCTATTGCACTATTCGTCGACTATTCGTACTATTCGTCGACTATTCGCGGACTATTCGTACTATTCGTCGACTATTCGCGGACTATTCGTCGACTATTCGCGGACTATTCGCACTATTCGTCGACTATTCGCGGACTATTCGCACTATTCGCACTATTCGCTTCACTATTCTAGTTTTATCAATTGCCAGGCAAATGACCATTGCGATAATTACCATGAAGCCAAGTACTAAAAGGCCTAGATCTAGGCTGCAACATTTATATTGGAACTGAAAATACGCGGAGTGATTATAACTATAGAGAATACTTATATTATTATTTATATGTGGTTTACAGGTATAAACTATTATAAACTGGCCGTTGAGAAAGATCATGACTCTATTTTTACGATAATATGGAAACCAGGCTTTACATGTACCTGAGACTGGAAAATTATATTCAACTGTTCAGTCATCATTTGAATATCAAAAAGTTGCTCAAAGAACAATAGACAACTTGCACGACTAAATTTTAATCTAAGTAAAGACTGAATGGTTATCAGGTTGGTCTAATGGTCTTCACATGTGACTCATGTCCTGTTGACCATACCTTCAATCATTGACATTGTTATAATTTTTTGTATGATTGTAAAGACAAGTTATAAATAAATAAATAATAGAAGGGAATCAAACCCCACAGCTAAAAAGAACATAATGAAATTAGTAAAATTGCAAAGTTTGGTTGCGAAATGTTGTAATGAAAGCTTGGAAAATGTTGCCTTAAGTTTGCAAATTTTGTATATCACTTTATATGTTTGTATTACGTGCGGAAATTGTTACCATTTTCGGTTCAAAAATGGTAACAATTTCCGCACGTAATATACAAACATATACAAAATATGCAAACTTCGCAAGGCTATATTTTCCGTATTTTACAACATTTCGTAACCAAATTTTGCAATTTTACTAATTTTAATAAGTTCTTCATGGGAATTTACTTTTTTTGCCTAGATAAAAAATTAGTCTAACATGCAAGTTGTCCATTAGTTTCCGCACGGTTGCATGGTTCGCTTTAAATTAGAAAATATATTCCCTAGCTTAAGCATATATACCTGTCTTTATTTTGCTTTACACAAAAGACGAACTATACTAGTACAAAAATTATTTAATGGACACTCTCATGCAGCCATATGTTACTGAAGTTCAGCTGCAATTTATACCGACACATATAACGCGTCGTGCATTTAGAAGCGCAGCGAATTGGCTTATATAACCACTGGTGAAACTTAAAAGTACTTTAAATATGTATTATATAACAATTTTACAGATATTCAGTCTTTCGGTCAGTCTAAATTTGGCAGTGGTTGATAGAGTCAACTATATAGCTATATATATGCTGCCATGCAATTTGCCGGTGTGGTAATTGTCGTAAAACCAGGTATATTGTGTATCAACTTGGTACAAGTACATTCTGTGTCATCATTAATAGTATTATATTATATAATCTTACCTCTTTTTCTGACTTTGTTTCTTATAACAGTTCTTGACGTTCAGCTGTTTCAGTGAGAAGTTGCTTTACGATTTCGTAATATCATGCAGTCTTATATATTATATTGATCAAGTGCTTTCTATACCTGCACGTGCTCTCCTCCTGCTGACGTAAACGTTTGCAAAAAGTAAAGAGCAAAAGTATAATAATTATACACCCTACGTACCACTAATTAACCCACATGCGCAATAAACATTGTGGCCTTATAAAGGCCCCCTATATATTTTACGCTATTTAAATTTTTATCGTTTTTTTATCGATATTTTGAAGTGCATGGTTTGATATAATAACCGAATAATAACACAATTAATTTTCTATACGTGATACTCATATCGCATAATGAGTTATTGAATTATCAGCAATATTTGGAGTGGTTTTAACAGTTATAAATCTGCACCTATATTAAAAACTTGTAATTCGTTGCGTTGTATTTGGCAAAGTCTTGAAATCACCTTATTTCTGGCAAAGCTTTCTCAAAAATAGAAAAGATATTTCAAATTTTACGATAGCTCATTATTTTCAATATCTCAGCGAAAACGATATGACCAGATATGGGAAAACTTCAAAGATGATTTTAAAGTCCTTTCCAATAAAATGGTATTTGAAATAACATAATTTTCGTGCATCGATCACCATATGCCCTTATATTTATAAATTGAGAATTTCGAACAGGGAGGTCCATGACCATGTATGTACTTAGGTATAGTATTCTACGATAACTTACAATTTACTGCGAGGTGTCGTGTTTTTAAAACCGTTGCCTACCAGCAGAACTGAGAATATTTTCAAATTAAAAGTGAAACACTTCCTCTCCGGCCCTTTGTCAGGAGGTTCTAGTAGCTTTTTAGTCACGGGTGCATGTTTTCAGGTTTGATAGTTATTAGTTTTCAGAGCTTTCTCGCATTAGTTAATTAGTGGTTAAGTACATGTATATATATACTGCACTCTTAGGATTGCAGACCTCCAACTGAGGTGGTTCTATAATTCTTTATTTTTTGTCGATAATAACAAAGTTGGTGTTAAAATTATGAACAGTCACTGAGTAATTCACAAGTCAAAACAAGGTACAGGCCAGGCTACGGCTCGCAGAGTAAACACGGCTTATATAGTTCTAATTAACTTCTCAACCTCATCAAGCCATATAGGCTCTTTCCTCGAGCTTCCCAATTCTCTCCTGCAACTGAGGAACAAGGTTGTTACTCCTAGCTTTAATAGATCAGGGTTTCCTGAACTTGGAAAATATGTTTGTATGTTTGTATTACGTGCATGCGAAAATTGTTACCATTTTCGGATCAAAAATGGTAACAATTTCCGCACGTAATACAAACATATCACAAAATATGCAAACTTCGCAAGGCTATATATTTTACAACATTTCTTAATATAGTTCTAATAACTTATATAGTTCTAATTAACTTCTCAACCTCATAGGCTCTTTCCTCGAGCTTCGCTCCTGCAGGAAACAAGGTTGTTACTCCTAGTAGCTTTAGACCCAAGTCGACCTCGAACGAAACGCGAGCAACAAGCACGAGCGACGAAGTCGCTCGCGCGAGGCCATCCTAGCTTATAGATCAGGGATTCAGGGTTTCAACTTCGTTTCATATAGTACCAGGTATTATCCTCGAATCATGAAATAATGAAGAAAACACTCATTGACAAATGCATCCAAATCATTGAAATCTATATCTGCCACACTGCCAAACAATGTTGTGGATTTACTCATGACTTGGTATTCCGCAGTCAATGCACTATATATTCTATAGACAGTGAATGAGTCAACCTTATTTCAGGAATTCTGATTTTCGCTGCCCTGCAATCAGGAATCACACAAACCCAGGTAAAAGACATAGAATTCTAAATATACTACCGGTATTACTATGGTCACTATGGCACAATCCTTGTATGAATTACTATCGACTAAATCAATCAATAATACTTCACTTAAATTCTTAAAAATTAAAACTCGAACGATCGATGTCAGGGTCAAATGCTAATTGTGTGCGGGCGTGTGTTTTTGTGTATATGTGTCTCTCAGCACGACAACGCAAAAACATCCAACATTAGCCTCCTCCACTGTCTGGCAAAATTTTTGGTAAACATGAGGTGGGGTGTACACGGGGGAAGCAAGGTGTTGCCTGCGGAGGTGGCTAATCCAACGTATCATATCAATATACATAAATTTGTGGGGCTATAATAGAAATATTCCAAGGTCAAATCTGTTAAATTTTGTCTCAATCTGGATGAAAATTGGACGAGAAATTAACAAAAGTGTTAATTTCTGTTTGTGTTGCTCTACCATGTAGAGCATTGTATAATCACTATCACCATCATCATCATCACTCACGAATATCGTACTTTCAAGGGGGTCTACTATAGGAGGTTGCTCGTTCCACAAACCGTCGTATTTTTTTCTCCTTCATGAACCGTCAACCGCCTGTATTTTCAGTATTAATTTCTTCTTGAACACCCTTACCGTCATTTTTCCTATACAGTAAAAGTTTATCAAGATGGCCGAATTTCGTTGAGGAATATTTAACTGATATATATATTCAGGAATCTTGCGAAGCAGCTGTAGTTGGGGAGTGAGATGTGAAAGAATTTGACCTGAGTAGGAACTTAATATCTCTCTGACGATTTTCAATACTGCATGCAGCCATAACTAACTATTGCAAGCTTGTGGGGGACTACAGACATTCTGTCTGTATAGGAATTGAAATGTTTTGCCGCCCTTTTTCTGAACAAAGAAAATTAAAAACAAAACACTTCAGCCGTTTATTATAAAAAAAACACTTAAGCCTTTTATTATGTAAGTACAGCCGACAGGAGCAGAGGAGATATCAGTATAGGAAAACTTAGCTTGTATACAATAAAACTCCGCATATAATATAAGAACCTAGAATTTAAGAACCTGTTAGGCTAAAATATTTTATTTAGACCCCTTTAAATAAGATTATAAGAACCTGTTCAGGTTAGAATTTCAAAACAGATTCTTAGTTATATTATCAAATAGAGTCAAAATTAAGTCACTCGTAACACATAAGTTACAATCAGTGTAGCTTTAAAGTGCATCTAGGGTTGGACGTTGGTATATAGTGCATATACTCTAGTGTCATTTTTTAGATCACTTGTGCATAACTGTTTTATATAAATCATATACCATACCTCCCCTAAAATGAGTCGCTTTTCTCTTAAGAAAATAAGAACCTGTTTAGCCTAATTTCCTGGTAAGCACCATTTACATAAGAACCTGTTTAGGCTCACTTGGAAAGTCTAGGTTCTTATATGCGTGGTTTTACTGTATATTGTCAGTTCCAAACTCTTCTCCCTAAAGGTCCAGTAAGGAACATCCTTCATTGGTCCAGTGTTACCAGCCACAGGAGGAAACCGTAACTAAACCAACTTTATAAACCAAGACTCAATAGCGCTTGCTTGCTTGCTGCATAACTTTCTGTATGCATGCATGAATGTGTATACATACGTGATAAGGTTTTGTTCCAACCTCGCATTAATTATTGCGAAGAACTTTTAATAGAACTTAGAAGTGTTTACGTCACGCAATTTTTAATACAGAGGACTTTTGGAATGCACAGTGGAAACTTTTGGGTCAATATTCATTGTTTGAAAAGTACATGACGAAAGCACTTCTGGGCTTCTGAGGTCATAGACAAGGTCGTTTCGAGTTCAGGAAAGGGAGCGTATATATGAGTAATGCCATTCGCCATCTTTGAATGATCAGCAAATTCAGCTAAAAGTCAATGTTTGATTTTAATTTGACATTTTCAGTGAAATTTGGAAAATAAAGTCGTGCATCAAACTGTTATATATTTTTATTGCAATTGTGATAATGAATACATTGAAGGTAACTGGTTAAAATTGCAGATGCTTCGCAAGAGTATATATCCGTTAAACGCTTCTGAGTGAAAATCTTCCCTTTGAATGTCATCTTGTTGTTCCGAAAAATACGACGGTTTGCAGAACGATCGACCCGGCCCCTACACTAAAGGCACTGGCATGTTGTAAATTAGACTTAGCTTAGATTTAATAATGTAGAACAGTCTAGTATATCTTGATATAGAAATTTATATGCATGTTAATGTTATAATCATAAAATATATAAGTAAACTGGAACATTGAATAACAGGAAAAAGGATAACGTTAAAAGAAAAGAGGAACTTTTTGGTAGTTTACACGTGAGGGAACTTTTTTGAATAATTGTTTTTGTAGGTTTTGTGGTCAAGCAACTGAAGCAAGCGAGGACGTTTTTTTGCATAATTTCTTACTTTCCTCTGAGAAAAAGTTCCCATAGTTGGAACAACAAATATATATAGTATAAATAAGATGGAGAATTAGAAGTTGGGGAGATAGATTGTTTGAGAGGAGAGAGAAAGAACGAAACAACGGATAACAGTGTTCAGTCATAGGTATAGATAACGATTGCTAAATTGAAGAGAAAATAAAAATTTGAAACGAGTCACTCGATTGAACTAATGTTGATGGATTTTGTAGATGGAAATTTCGAGTGTACATTGTATACATTTATTTAGATCTAATCAGGAGAAACTGCGGAAAAAAGTAACTATATAGGCCCTCTGGCAGGTCTAAAGAAATGTATAACTTTACACTCAAAATTCCCATCCACAAAATCCTTCAAAACGTACCTTCGAACCTCACCTCTCTAAGTCGGACGGTCAGTTGTTTTCAAAGTTTAACCCCCTGGCTCAGTTGGTTAGAGCGCTGCACCGTAATCTGCCAAGGGCCTGCATTTTTCGCAGCTTGTCCTGTTAGGTCTAATAAATGTATATAAATTTCCACTCGATAATTTCCATCTACAACACCCTTCCACTAAACGTGCTAGCACGTTTTTGACGGATACATGAGGATTGTGCGTTTTGATGTGTGTCCACAGAGAGCAGTAAAAAAACGCTGTTTCATGGTGTTCCGTTGAAAGCGTGGGATGAAGCAAACGTAAATATGACGTACGTCACGTACAATATCACCGTACCAACTACGAGGACACACGTCCAACTAGTAACAGACCTCCATGAATTTCTGTTGTCTGCAGGCAAGCCGGAAGGGACCAGAAGGAGCAACTGCCCCTCGTGCCTTTTACCAGCAGGGTTGCGTTTCTGTTGTGTTTTTGTTTCCATTTTTATCAGCTTTATTTGTGAAGATAAGCTATTCATTACTCCCAATTTCTAATAGGTTGCAAACAGATCTGCTGTGGAAGTCAAAAATCCAGGCTACGCCACCCAAGTCTGGTCACCGCAGTTAATTGAACTAGTCAGAAAGACAGCGCGTTCAACGCAGAGCTTCAAAATTTATCCTTAAGCTGCCCTTCACGTGTACAGAATCCTACAAAGACAGACTGATGTCTATAAATCTGTTACCAGTCTCTTATTGGCATGAGTGTCTTGACTTGATGTTCTTTTTCAAGGTACAACTGTTCCGAAGGAAATCTTGCCAAAACGATCTATTCCCTCAAGGCCTACTCGATCATCTTCAAATAACAGTGTTATCTCGTACCGTCCTCGTAGATGTAAGACAGCCACCTATCAACGGTCACTTTTTATTAGAGCAACTAGAACCTGGAACTCCTTACCCGAACACTTAAGACTAGATCATTTATCTCTAATGTTATTTAAAAAGTCACTATTAGAATACTACCATAATGCCCTTGTATCTTGTTACGACGTGGATGATGCTCGAACATGGAAAACTGTTTGCCTGAAGTGCAACACATCGCGCAATCTAATCGATGCCGATCCCTGTTGCTACTAGACTAATTAGTTGATTTTTTTTCGTCTGTAATTTGTCACTAATGTTAACTAAAGGGCCCACAGTAATTGGTGTAAACTGTTGTGGTGTTCCCGCCTCTTGTTCTGTTTCATGTATATGAATTGTTGTACTTGTATTGTGTACGTTTTTATTCAAGGCGAAGCTAAATAAATAAATAAAAATAAATAAACAGAGCTCTTACATATTTCCTAACGGACCCACGGAAAGCAATGCAGAATATTTTAATTTAAATATCCACACACCATTGATTTGTGAGTTATATTGTGTTTATACCTACTAGATATCATTAATATAATACAAGATTATAGTAATCACGCTAAAATAATAATATACATACAAAATTGCTAATTCGTTCCAAGAAAATATTTATCTTCTTAAAAATCACGTAGATTCAGGCTACAAAGTTCATACAACTGTTTACAATTAGATTTACGATAAAGCGTTAGAGGGGTTCTTATTTGACTTAAAAACTACCGCTGCCTTTATCATTAACCAATCAGATGCGTTTAATCCACCTGATTAACCAATCAAGGTCAGTGGAAGTCAAATCTGAACCTCTCTGTTGTGGTGCGAACAACAAAATTGAAACAAAACTGATTTCAACGCATGTTAAATAGAGAGTTGTCGTTGGCGTATGTTTTCTCACGTGGTGTAACTCATACATTTTTAATTAACATGCCTTGAAATCAGCTTTCGGTAAAAATTGCGCAAATTTGGTTGCTAACTTTCTTCACGTTTGAAGTCGTATGGCACAACTGCTTGAGACGCTTTATATGTCAATATTTATAAGTATTGTTCAATTTTGAAGAAAAGACGTAGAAACATTTCGTCCGTATATTTGGTCCCTCAGTGAAGGTGGGATTTCTATTGTCTGGCAATAATTAACTGGCTTCATTTTCGGCGCCAGTCAACAATGGATTGTGATATCCAGTTTTCTATTCACATCAGTGGTAAACGACCAGTTAGGTAGAGAGATCGGTCTAGTCAATGTGTATCAATCTCTACAATGACGTCACCGAAGATGCCATATGTTAGACATGATCAGTACAAATTGCATATTGTTACATTTAGATCATTTTTCAACTCCAAAACTCATGTCAGTTATTACAATGGATATAAATCCACAATCACACGTGACATGCTAAGAACGACTAGCGTGGAAGTAATCTAAATTTGTGCAGATTCTGTGATTGAGTACTCTCCACTTCCTTTCCTTAAAATATCTTGTAGTGAAGGTGATGGTCGTTTTTGTTGCTCCTGTTTTTTCCGTCGACTGCGACCTGGTGAATCATTCATAGCAACGTCATATCTTGTGTATAATGTTTCAGACAGACTTCGTTCTCGTGGTTTACCAAGTACTAACTGACGGTAACGCTGTTCATCAATATCAACTGCAGGCTCACTAGGTGATTCGGGTGTTTGTCGAGACTGCATATCATATTTACCTTTGTACGCTTTTGGTCTAAAAATATTTATAAATATTATTGAATATTGAGCAAGAATATGAATCGGCATACAAGGAGTTCATTAATCAATACATCAATCAAAAAACCAAAACAAAAATCAATGCAAAAAATAAACAGCAGTAGACAAACGTGAAATTGCTTGACAAAGTGATGAACACCGACCTGATGTAGTAATGGATTAAATAATGAAGTAACTAAACACAAGTTCATCGGCTTCACTCACTTTTCTAATAGCCAGTTCTAATATTTTCTACAGTAAAGCCATTGCGAAAAATTTCAAATTGTAAAATTTCATAAGACATTTAACCAGGTAAAATCCGCCATATCTGAGTTTTGGTTAGGGTGAATTAATGAAATTAGCCTTTCTCATACCACGAGACAAGGGCTTGTCCTACATTTTTGGGTGACAAACTGCATGGGAAAAGTTGACGGGAACAAGCGAAGGAGTGAATTTAGAGAGGTTAAAACACATTACAATTGTTTGCAAGTACTATTAGCCATTTCCCAATCGAGCAGAGGACTTGGAGGGACAACAAGTTATAGTAAGCGAGCTAAATATATATTTTTAAAAGATGCCTTATTATAATTGCTGCGTTTCAGGCTGCACAAATAACTTTAGGAATGTGGGAAAACGTCCTAGATACCATATTCGGCATATTGTTTACTTTTTGACCCTCCAAACAAGCGACTAGACGCAGTCCTCTGCTCGATTGGGAAATGGCGAATTTGCTTCCCCAAATCATCAATTTCCATGTTGTCAAGGCCTGGTTACATGGCCTGGAGGACGCACCTCATCCTGATCGAGTCAAAAGCTTCCTAAGGGCGCCCATCTTATGACCCATCTCTGATCATGGAGAACAGTTACGATGGAAGTGTCAGTTTGGGGGTTATCCCAACCCACCCTGTCAACTTTCCCTGTGGGAGGAAACCGGTGTACCCGGAGAAAATCCACGACTTTCGGTAAAACGTTGACCGACTCTGTTCACGTAAGTGTCACGAGTCCGCAGCCGGGAATCACGATCCCAGAGGTGAAAGGCGCTTGCTCCGACTAAAAGCCTCTGTAACCAGCTATTTGCTTTGCTTATTGAATTCTGATCGTTTAATTGGCTGTTTATGGTCACGTGATATTGAATAGAAAATTCCATTTCCCAAGAGTGCAATGGAATACGTTCCATTGCACTCTTGCGAGTGCAATTGTACTATACGTTTTATTCCATTGCACTCTTTGTGTTTTCGATAAATCGCATCCGTCAAAATGCTTCTCGTACGGGAATCGCAGTTTATTTTAACCCGATTTTCGAAACTCAGTAAATGGGATTTAATGCAAATACATGACTCGTCAAAATGGCTGGAACTTACAGTAAACTTTTTAATATTAGTCTATTTTGGTATTATATAAAACAAATAATGAATGTTTTTATTCGTGCAATGGTAAGAATATTTTCATGAGGTGAAAGATGGAATGTTCCATTCAACTCGGCTGTCGCCTCGTTGAATGGAACATTCCATCTTTCACCTCATGAAAATATTCTTACCATTGCACTCATAAACATTCATTATTTGTATAATGAAGATGATTAGTAGATTAGATTTACTCTATCATATCACATTCACAGATTAGCTTTTTATTATAATTTTGGTTAATTATTAAAGTACGCCTGATTAGTCTTGACTATATTATTTATTAGAAACATTTAATAATTTAACATTTATAAGCTAGGGTATGAAAGATAACGATTTACCAAAGATTATACCAAAGATTATTTGTATCAAAGATTTACTTTAAAGTGCTTATGAAACGAAATTTTTGCCTCATTTTTTATTGTCTTATTAAAAGGTACTGCTTAAATGGTGAAGAATGACGTTTACAGTTTGTTCGTATCTCAACTCATTCCCAAGTTATCGCACTTTCTATATTTTGAGTTGTGACGTCACTAGTTTGAGTCAAAATAGTGGCAATAACAAGAAAATCTGATATCTTGATGATCATTTAAGAAAATTAAATGAAACTTGGCACACTTAGTGGGTGCAACGAGGTGAACAATTTGGCTTGTTTATATGGTTGTTATGGCAACACACTCGTCCCCAATCCCTTCTCTTCCAATTTCTATATGATCCATTTCCAACGAAATAAATAGTAATTTCTGCAATTATCGCTTATTACTGTAATAAGTGCAGGTGTTGTGATCAGGTTAAACCGTTATAACATGCAAACATCCTCTGCAAAAGGTCTACAGGAGGAAATTCGTGAAAAAGAAGAGAAGAGACTGGGGACTAGTGTGTTGCCATGACAACCACATGACCTGCCGTAAATATTCATATGCGTGCACCCACTAAGTGTACTGAGTTTCATTGAATTTTATCAAATACTCACTAAGATATCAGACTTTCTTGTTATTGCCATTATCTCAAGTCAAACTAGTGACGTCACAACTCGAAATTTAGAAAGTGCGATAACTTGAGAATGAGATAAGATATGAAGAAACTGTAAACGTCATTCTTCATCGCTCTAGCAGTACTTTTTAGCAAAACAATAAAAAATAAGGTGAAAATTTCGTTTCATAAGCACTTTAAAGAGTTTATCTATATACAAAATTTTATAAACTTTAATTCTAGTGTAAATATTTTCATTTAAATTTTATAAAATCTAACTAAGACTAAGTTTCTTGGTTTCTGCTCAGGTGACGATAATCCATTTATTGTTGATTATTTGCCTTGCCATTGTGCCAGAAGCTGGTGATTGAAGAACAAATAAATAACGTTTATTTATTGATTGATTACATATATTATCTTTTAATTATGTTAATGAATGAATTAATTATATTTAAGGGAGCATTTGAAACGAAAAATTTATGGTTGACATATCCTTCAGGAGTTTACCTTCTCATATTATCGGTTAGTGTGTTGGTTAGTACTACCGTTTAATTTTATTATTCTTTACTTTTTACATTTTAATAATAAACCAGAAGGTTTCTAGCAAGAAATTGCAGCAGAAAGAACCCTTGCACGCACAGCCGAAACTATGTTCATTGATGTGTAATAGGCTATGATCAATAAAATTGATTACAAAACTCGGTGAAATACAGTATACCTTTGTATATCTCATTATCTTTGTTACTTTACGTTAATATGTCGAAATATGCTCGGTTCATTGTCATGTGTGTATTGCGTTTTCGCCCAAACCACCAAGTAACAATGTGTTAAATTAATGACTGTGTGATGTCATGGATGGCGAATAAGACTAAAACATTGCTATTACAGTGTTATCCTTAACGATTCCAGCCAGAGAGCTTCATATGAGTCATGATTTGGGAACAGTTACTATTTTTAGACTTTTAGGGTTAGGATTAGTGTTTGGATTAGGAAAAGGGTTAGGATTAAGATTAGGGTTAAGATTAGAGTAAGGATTAGGATTAAGTTTAAAATACAAAAGAATACAAAATTACAAGTCTAAAAATAGTAACTCTTCCTAAAACGTGACAGGTATAAAGGGCCTAGTTGCATTTTTGGCAGTTGCTTCTATAGTTTCCATCTTCAAAAACCCTCCAACATTTAGCCTTAACGCCATGCAATCACGCGATGTCCGCAATATTTGGCTGGCAAACCTCTCGCAGCAGAGGATAACAACATATGTGACGATAGACCAGTCATATTTTACATAAACTTAAACCAACATATAGATAAAGGATTTTACTGTATTCCATCGAGTTTCATAACCATCCTTACTCTATCGACTATGATATACATACAACCGCAAACAATAAGCATTCTTAAAATACTCATTAATAATCCACGAAGAAAATTCAAAAGAAATGAATATTTAATCGGATAAAGTTTTGTCCTGATTTACATAAACTTCAGCTTTGATTTTCTCGGCTTGGACAATGTTTATTTTTAAAATTACTTCGCCAATGAACTCATAAAATGGGTCATTTTTTAAGTACGATAAAACATGAGCAGCCGATCTGTATCTGATAGACAAACTCTCGCCTTCGGCTCGAGTTTGTATATCAGATACAGATCGGCTGCTCATGTTTTATCTAGTACTTAAACCAACATATAGATAAAGGATTTTACTGTATTCCATCGAGTTTCATAACCATCCTTATTCTATCGACTATGATATACATACAACCGCAAACAATAAGCATTCTTAAAATACTCACTAATAATCCATGAAGAAAATTCAAAAGAAATTAATATTTAATCGGATAAAGATTTGTCCTGATTTACATAAACTTCAGCTTTGATTTTCTCGGCTTAGACAATGTTTATTTTTAAAATTACTTCGCCAATGAACTCATAAGATGGGTCGTTTTTTCGATATCGATAAAGGTCGGCTGCTCATGTTTAAACTTCTACTTCATCTTGTAATCGTCGTGAGGGATTCTTCATTTCTTTGATATTACTATCGATGCAATGGAAGTGTTGATAAGATATTGCACCAATTCCTTTCCTCAAGTTGATCAATTCATTTGATAGAAAATTGATCAACTTCCTGTTACTTTTAGATGAGCCAATTAGATTTCGTTTCAGAACCGATTGACCAATAGGAAACACACAGGAAGTAAAAAGAAATTTGAATTCGTATGAATTGATCAACTTGAGGAAATGAATTCATGCAATATTTATCAACACTTCCATTGCATCGACAGTAATTGTTACAGAAACAAAATTTGCGTGCCAGGTTTGCTTATACCTTACCAGGACGTTTTCACACTGGTTCCTAGCTTTATCGGCAGAGCTTACACTAATATATAAGTTTAAATAAAACAAGAATCTTACTTCAGAGCAGCTCCCAAATTTTTTAAATTGAAACCACTTGATTTCTTCTTGACTTTTGGATGTACAGAACTATAATCCGCATTACTTTGCATTGTGATTGGTATAGCATCATCACCACCATTATCTATATGAACTGATTCAAAATTGTTGTTCGCCCTGAAATTGTGATAATTATAATTATTTAAACTCTTTGAAACATCAATGAGTTAATGAAAGCAAACATTATACAACACTATGGAGGTATCAGAGGCAGCCCCCGTTTGTCGTCGAAAATTGCAAGGAGTATTAAAACTTAAGAGGAGTATTAAAAATACTGTACGACGCGACGCTTAAATTGTCATAAATAGACACAAAATCGTGATAACCGAAATTGTCTTCGTAAAACTAGAACTTACATTGAAGCCAAGGGAGATGCCTTGATGTAATTTCCATGTCGACCATATTTCTTTACAACACCATCCGAACTTGTCCTCCATTGTCCTCTTACGTTATTTGGATCAAAATGACCAAGCATTAATGATTCTTTATCACTTTTCTTACTTCTTTCTTTGGGAATTGGAACGGCAAAATCTTCAAAGCAATACAGCGAAACATAAGAATGATATATACGTGTCCTGTGAATTGTTTTGATGTTTTCCTCCATCCTTTTAAACTCATTAACGTAACTCAAAGAAGCTCCACATATTAGCTATTATTATTAGTATAGATATTTTCCAGAATGGGACGAAGCCTTAGCCAATTTTCAGATACTTGAAGTGTTCTAAAATCACTAGACAACCTCGAGTGTATGATATAACCTCTCAAAAGATCAATATTTAAAGAGAGATTCAGCTTGAAAGTTATGAACGTTTATTGTAGTTGTACAAAGACAACGATATGGTGCTGAATTCTTTTATTTTTTGCTTATTTGATGAATTCTCATGTATTTTCACTGGAAAAAATCCGAAACCTTCCACAGAGTGAAAATTTCACAGAAATTTTATATATTGAACACTTAAAAAAGTTTGGAAATTCAATTTCCAAAGTTTTGCACACTACCATAATAGGGAAATTTTCCAGAAAACCTAGAAAACCAAAGTATGGAAATGGTTCAAATTTTTCAGTGTTTTGTATTCGCTTAGTCATTGAGAGCAAAATCTGTTGAAAGAAGGATTACCATGAAAAATCTTACCAATCAATCTTTCATTATATTCTTCATCAGATTTCCGTCTCCGACTTTTCTCAATTGGAGTTGTGCTTGGCCTGGGTAAAGTTTCTACGAGAGAAATGCATACTATAGCAGTATTGTCTAAAATATAGCAAAAATCCGCGTATATAAGGGGCTGTTTATACTGTTATATCGGACGGGCTAATCCAGATGACTAAATTCTTCACAGACATTTTCGCTGTTTAGATGTGCTTGGCATTATTAAATGTTTGGCTTTAGCTTAGTTCCTCGGCTTTTTGCTTCCACCTTACTATTCTAGGGTGGTATTTTGATGAGGTTTTCAGGTTGACCTGAATTAAGTTCTGTGGTATGGGAGACCGAGTGGATCTTCCCAAATATGCAACCTGCAAACCTGACAGACTCTAACTCACACACGGGTGGAAAGCCAAGGAACAATTAGCCTATTTTAGCTCTACAAATTTACCGTATAAAGGTATCTTACTTGTCAGATATGTTCCTTGTCCCTGATTCACGTTATGTTCCTTAGCAATAGCACCTGTGAAATATGGAAATAATGAGTGAATGTTCTCACATTTTGCTTCTTTCTGTTATCATTAGGGCATTATAAAGAATCAGTCAATCTCATCAGAGCAGGCATATTTCCTGCAATGTTTAGAGGTCTGTGCACATGGACGAATTTGAATAAGATTGTACACTCAGCGGTTTCAGAAACTAGAATAGAATTTTTGCACGGCGAGATTGTTTAAAAAATGTTTTGTTTGCCATTTTCTCTGAAGGAGATTCACAGTCGAAAATAAGATTAAAATTGGAAAGATTTTAGTCATTAGTGCAACAGAAAGGTGTACTATACACAAACAACCCATTGTGTAGTATACCTATGTCCAAAATTGAAATATATAAACTTCTGTGGCCAGTCCCTGCACTGATAAAATGACGATAATACGTTCACCAACCTTCTAAACTTTTCGACCGGGTCACTCTTTGTTTATAAAACTCTGTCTGAGTGATATCTGCTTGAGCCAGTTTAAATCTCTTTTCAGACATTGATTGTCGCCCCATTCCCTCTCGGACAAAATGCTCCCCAGTACCATCCTCCTCATCATCTGTCAAATAGTCAATTACATCATCGACTTTGGACTCGTTCTGAGCTGATATGTTTGGTTTTTCATCGTTTTTGCTTTCTGACTTCACTTCCATAGCTGAAACAACTTTAGCTGAGCTTTCCCTTGGTAAGCTTTCCTTTGGGTTTTGAAAAGCAGGAGAAACATCACTGTTATCAGAATAGAAAGTGCTATCAGATTTCCTAGCAGACTGTTCCATCGCTAATAAATAGTTAGGAAACTGTTTTGTATAGGGCGATGGTCTTTGTGTCCGAGGCGGTGGGGGTGGCGGAATTCCTTTAGGGATATTTATTGATGTTGGAGGACGTTTACTTTCACGTGGCGGTGAGAGACTTGCACGTGATTGGTCAGATGACCTAGGGAGTGTTGCCGATGCAGAGGTACTTAACGCTGATGTTGGTTCAGCCACTGTACTGCTAGGTCTGTTGGTAATAGACATAGGACGAGTTGTGTTCCATACTCTAGCGGTATCAGTAATTGACGCGATTACTATTTGTGGCTTCTCCTCTTTTGTAGCACGTGACATATTAGGCTCCTTGTCCTTGTCATGTGACTCGTCTTTAGGTTGGTAGAATGGAGATTTAGGTTTCTTGGATTTTGGCAATCTTTCAGCTCGTTGTCCAGTGCGGTTCATAGCAATGTAATACGAAGGGTTTCTATGTATACCATTACCTGTCTTTGTCTGTCGAACACGACTTGGCTTAAGTTCAGGGACTTTATCCTCCTGTGTAGTATTAATATTTAGCCTCGATTTCTCGGCTTTATCCTGAACTTTATTCACATTATTATGACCGTTTAGCACGCGATTACTACTAACATCCATGTTGTTCTTACTCAGAACTGGTTTTGCAAAGAGTTTTTTCATTTCATCATTTTGCTCTCTACGGTTGGTCGGGCGATGTTTTAGTTCATCATCTGAAACAGCTCTTCGTTGTGTAGTCTGATGTCGGTTATCGTGGGATATTTCATTTAGTTTAGTTCCACGACGTAGTTCATCATCTGAAGCAGGTCTAATGTGATAGTGTGACGGTTTAAGCTCGTCAGGTTTTGAACGAGTGTCCTCGTCAGTGATTTTAGTTCCTGAAATAATAAAGGCATAAGATATCTTTATTTTAAAACAGAATTAAATTGATTCGATGTAATATTTTTATTATTTTATTATGAAACCATAAAATTATATTTTTAAATGATTTCCTCGTCAGTGATTTTAGTTCCTAAAATAATAAGGGCATAAGATATCTTTATTTCAACCTGATATTTATGATATTTATAAAAAATATTTATTTAAGAACTGACGTTTCATGTTTGACCCAAAACTCCTTCAGGGTATGTCAATTGTTATATAAATAAATACGACGTTTTACATGATATTGAATTTTATTGAATAGTACTGTAGAAGAGGGACAGAACTGCCTTGTTTGTTTGTTCAGGAAACAACCGACTCTGATCCCATTCCCACCTAGTAGCTACAGGCCTCATACTATTCTTATTATTTGTAAATTTGTGTGTTGGTGTAATGTATTCAGGTGAATAATATGCTTGTATGATGTTACTCTGAGTGTATATCCACATCGGGCAGGCTTGAAAAATATGTCTGGCCACAGTGGGGATCGAATTCTGATTATTAGATTACACTGATATCGAATGAACTAGACTCATTTCCGAAATATCGCATACTCGAACCGACCTGACCGCGTAGCTCAGTTGGCAGAGCGTTGGGCTAGTATTCCAAAGGTCGTAGGTTCGATTTCCACTGTGGCCAGGTATATTTTTCAAGCCTGCCCGGTGTGGATATACACTCAGAGTAACATCATACATGCAAGCATATTTGTAAATTGTAATTCAATATCATGTTACCCCTCGGCAGCCCAACTTTCTCCAGCGGGTTTTGCCATGTAAACAAGCACGATTTTAAAGATAAAAGATCAGGAAAAACTTTTATTCGTATCAAAATAACAGCATGAATTTGATATAAAAAGCTACCTTGCTGGTTTTGTTTCCGTTTGCTATCATTTGACTCGATTTCTTTGATATCGCCCAACGCTCCATCAGGAACATCAATTCGTTCACTTCCACTACCTCCAATATCAATCGCGCGATCACTTGTGTTTTTCTGTTTTCTGATCGTTTCCAGTTCACTCACGTTATTCATGATTTCTTTGACACTTCGTATCACAGTTACTTCTACAGGCCCCGAGGTCTTGGTTTCCATGGCAGAACGTAGTGTTTTCATGGCCGATGAATTAGACATGCCAGTCAGTTTGACACCATTCACGCTAATTAATTGGTCATTTGGTCGCAATCGCCCATCCTGGAAAATGATACAAGTTATTGTAATAATTGTATACTGTCAAAAAAACTCACGTAAACAAGGAAACACTAGGTTATTAAGAAAGTTCCGATGTCATCTCAAATGTTTCTCAGTACCCATCCCCGGAAACACTATTGAGAAATACATTTTGCTTTCCAGAAAACAAAAATGTTCTCTAGAGCATAGGCAGCCCCATGGCTAGGCGTGCCAAATATCAACCTCGCTCCCAGGCTCTTCGAGGTTGGCCAAATATTTACTAAACTATTCAAATTTTTAATAAAACTGTGCTTGCCTTGTTATGGCGAAATATGGCGAAAACGTGATAAATGTCCAGATAACAATGCAATTCTGCAGTTGTAGTTGCCTACGTACGGGCGACGTCACTCATTGCATGGTATGGTTAACCAGAAAATCAAATTATACATCGCTATACCTGAAAACTATCGAACAATACTCGAATATTTTGAAAACTACGCTAAAATAGTAAAAAAACATGAATCTGCGATACTTTATTACATTCTTGAAACCTTAAGAAAATTTGAGACCCTAAAACGAAAAAACCCCGAAAAGTTTTCGGAAATCTGTTCAATGTTGCCTATTAACATAGAACCCGCTACAAACAAGCGTTGTCAATGACCGACGGTTCTTATTAACACGTCAATAGCTAGACTTGCCCAAGTCGCTCGCTAGGGACCGCCCGTAGCAAGAAGGGAGCGCTTGAGAAAGACGGAAGCGAGCGACTTGTGTCACTTGCCTGATTTTGAATCTTACTGAAAAATTTGGCGCGAAAATCAATTATGACATAGTGGGCGTTCACCATGTCGATTTCACTAGTTCATTATTGTTTTGTTCATAATAATAATGAGCATTCACTGACGTCACCGAAGCAAAAATGCACCAGTGAATTTGGCGCGCTTGCGGGTGACAAAAGTCCGTCGCTTCCAGGAACCACGGACTTTGGAAAGTCTAGTCAATAGCCATTGGGCTGCCTATGTGTCTAAAGCCGTGGGAAGCGTTGCTGTGGAAACATTGCTTCCCAGCCAAGTTTCCAGAAGGTGGGCAAACCAGTCACACATGAAAAACAAACATTGGTTTCTGGGAGACAAAACGTGTTTCCGTAACAATGTTTCCAAGGTAACGGATAAATGTGACGTAGTTTAAAGCGACGCCCATCGCATGTAAGAAAGTTATTGTGGGAAAACGCATGCAAGTTGTCGGGAGATTTGGTGGTTTATCTCTCAATAAAAGAATGATTTACTGTGACTAACCTGATGTGCGGCACCTCCAGGAACAACAGTTTTAACAAATATCCCAAGATCATCTCCAGAACTTTCATTTTGTTCAGAAATATTTGATTTGCCTTTCACAGTAATACCCAAGCCTGCTGTACCCGAGATGGGTAGAGGTATTTGATAGGTGAGAATTTTATTACCTCGACTGTCAGAAGGAGCTCGTTCTAGGTCTTTGATCTGAAAAAATGCGAGAGTGTATACGGTTATTATAAATCATGAAAGGTCGATTACACAGGGTGTGGTTGCCCAATTCACCCGAGGCTCATCATACACATGCTCGACAACTAAGGGTGTAAGGGTTTGTCGTTTGAACTCTATAAAGCGAGAAACGGGTTTTGTGCGCGTATTTACTTACGGCAATGCCCGTACAGCTGTATTTTGATCTCACGTCAGAAAAGAAGGACCTGCGGACAACGCAGAAACGGGCAAAAGTTTAACCCACTAAACGTTTGTCACACTGATATTCCACAGTAAATATTTTAAACTGGAGTGCATGTTTGAGTGTTATAAGAAAACGAATAAGAGAACGGAGTTGGATCAGGTTTAAATTAGTTAGATGCGACGACAAAGACGAAATTATTATGTTCTTACCAGTTTCGTGGAGCCAATAGGAGAAGTTATAGTTACTTTTCTTTGAATTAAAAGCTTCACTTGTCCTTTAGTACTTCGAAGAATATCGACAGCTTGTCCTTGACTTTTGCCCGTCATTTCTGTCCCATCCACCTGTGGAATACAAAATTAACCATAAATGAATATATACTATCCGAAATTCCAACTTGCTAATAAAAACTTCAACTTGTCCATGGCAAGTGGACAAACATGACATTACACAAAGTGTTCATCTTTGGCTGCAGTCGCGTGCGAAATAATAATTTAAAATCACAAAAAATCGAATGCCCTTCGTCACAGAAATAGTTGTCTGTGAATCAAGGTATAAACGGCTGTTGTCTGGAAATTACTATAAGTTAAAAATTACAAACCTCTAATATTTGATCTCCAGCTTGCAGCTGACCATCACGTATTGCGGCACCATGCGGTAAAATATTCTTCACATAAATAGGACAGGCACCCCCCGCGGGATTATCACGTGACGTCACACTGAAGCCTAAACCATCACTTCCTAAAGATTTTCAAATTCTTTAAAATTCGTACAGGTTACCTGATTAGGCTAGACGTCTCGATAACCGAGATTACAGGCAGAGACCTCAAAACCTCCCTGTATATATTAACTGTTTAATAGACTATCTTGCAATTGTTGCATAAATATGCTTAATTAAACTAATATAATCATGGTACCTATCCTCCAGTAAAACATGAAATTGAAAAACTCTTCCAAGACTTAGTTTTTACACTACATCAGACTTTGAATTAAAAAACTATTACTTAGCTACAGTATAACACCGCGGGAAAGAAATTACATGACTATGAAGGGAACAGGGAACTACCTGAAAAATACACGCAAAAAATCGACGTTTCGAGCGAAGGCCCTTCGTCCGGAAATCTACTAATTTTCGGCTTCGTCTGGAAGGCTACTACCTTCCTTCCTCTGGAAATTTACTAACTTCCTTCGCCTGGAAATCTACTAACTTCCTTCGCATCGAAATCTACTAACTTCCTTCGCATCGAAATCTATGCTAACTTTCGTCTTCGTCTGGAAATTTACTAACTTTCGGCTTCGTCTGGAAGGCTACTAACTTCCTTCGCCTGGAAATCTACTAACTTCCTTCGCCTGGAAATCTACTAACTTCCTTCGCATGGAAATCTACTATTAAACTTCCTTCGCATCGAAATCTATGCTAACTTTTGGCTTCGTCTGGAAATCTACTAACTTTCGGCTTCGTCTGGAAGGCTACTAACTTCCTTCGCCTGGAAATCTACTAACTTTCGACTTCGTCTGGAAGGCTACTAACTTCCTTCGCCTGGAAATCTACTAACGTCCTTCGCATGGAAATCTACTAACTTCCTTCGCATGGAAATCTACTAACTTCCTTCGCATCGAAATCTATGCTAACTTTCGGCTTCGTCTGGAAATCTACTAACTTTCGGCTTCGTCTGGAAGGCTACTAACTTCCTTCGCCTGGAAATCTACTAACTTTCGACTTCGTCTGGAAGGCTACTAACTTCCTTCGCCTGGAAATCTACTAACGTCCTTCGCATGGAAATCTACTAACTTCCTTCGCATGGAAATCTACTAACTTCCTTCGCATCGAAATCTATGCTAACTTTCGGCTTCGTCTGGAAATCTACTAACTTTCGGCTTCGTCTGGAAGGCTACTAACTTCCTTCGCCTGGAAATCTACTAACTTTCGACTTCGTCTGGAAGGCTACTAACTTCCTTCGTCTGGAAATCTACTAACTTTCGGCTTCGTCTGGAAATCTACTAACTTCCTTTGCCTGGAAATCTACTAACTTTCGGCTTCGTCTGGAAGGCTACTAACTTCCTTCGCCTGGAAATCTACTAACTTCCTTCGTCTGGAAGACTATATATCTATACTAACTTCCTTCGTCTGGAAGGCTATATATCTATACTGACTAACTTCATTCGTCTGGAAGGCTATATATCTATACTAACTTCATTCGTCTACTAATCTACTAACTTCGAGACGAAGGGCCTTCGCTCGAAATGTCGACGTTTTGCTTGTATTTTTCAAGTAGTTGAATCCCTCTGAACCCGCAGTTTTCTGGTGCACCTACGCTGGCACAGACAGTTTATATGACTGTGAAGGATCTGTATTGATTTCAAGCACTTTCAAGTATTATAATTATTAAGGACCTTGCATGGGAACCTGTGTAATTCTGGACATCGTTTGTGTGCATTTTGAATTTTTTCAAGTTCAAAAAACATTTTACTCGTTGTTCGCTTAAAATGGCATAAACCGGCACATTGACATTTTTCACGATAGCTGCAGGTAGAGCGGAATGAATAATGCCGGACACAGCGAACGACTCCCTGGACGTTTCTGCACAGGATGTAATATATATAATGTATATGTATTATTTCGTGCATAAAATATGACGATTTCCGCTATCGTATTGGTGTGAGAAGAAAATATCACACGTCACTGGAGAATAAAATTATGAAATAGTTAATAAAAGTCATAAAACTATATACCATGCATACAATGTGAGTTGCGAATGTCTTATATGCAGATCCGGAAGACTTGTTTATTTAAATCGCACCAAATATTGATGTTTGAATTTTTGAAAGTCGTTTGTATATTATAGGACAATAAGGAATGAATGGTATTGACTATTGAGTTCCGGTAACGCCGAGATATCAATCTGTACTGTATATACAGTGTTACACAATGAAAATCTCCCATATCTTGTGCCAAACATTGTTGTGACAGCAAATTAAAACAATTGTCTGCAATAAGGCCAATGTCAATATCGTGAATATGCTTATTGCGCATAAATTTTTTTGCCAACTTCATTTTTGCCGTTTTGTCTTCCCTAAATAATAGGTCTAATTTGGCCATTTCACTCGACAGATGCGAAATGGTTTCCGTGGATGAAAATTTCAAGCTAAAAACTATATACACTGCATATTTACAACCTAACCAGGAGCAATTAGGTTAAGGACGAGGGATGGTGTTGCTAATATCTTTCCTTGAAGCTGAGAGCTAATTTGGGAAGGATGAAACTCAAGCGTGACCGAGAAATAATTTTATAACAATCACTAATATATACAGTGCGTAACACAACATATAGTTTTTTTTCAAATCACAACAAATATTAATCGAGGGCGTCATAGTCATGTGAACAGATAAATAAATTCTCCCACACCGGAGTGGATCCCAGCCAACGGGGATGTAAGGTTTATATTGTCCTATGGTTATGAAAGAAACCTTTACAAAAGCTCGCATTCCCAAAGTATCGTAATATTCAGCCGTGGGAAGCGATGCAATGTGCTTCGAAGAGAAAAGCATGTGTAGGTACAAACCTTTTTGCAAGTCGATAACAATTTTTTTCTCGACAATTCTTGGAATTGCAACATCATTTTTATCCTGAGTCCCCAACGGTTTCTTGTACGTAGGAGAAGAGAAGTTTGGTAATGGCGGGACAGTATTTTTGTCTGTTAAAACAGAAATATACAACATTGGTTTGAGAAATACATGCACAATACAAAACTATTGTTCACAAGAGCGATTGTCAAAGAGGCTGTTTACATGACCCAGCTTTTCTGAGGAAGACAAGATGATTTTGATAAGTCACAGTTCATGATTAGTGCATTACTTTCCCGTTTGAGAAGCCATAATAATCGGGTTTTTCAGAATCTGATTAACAACAAATAAATTAATAATCTCCTTTTAATCGCTCGTTTAGTTTCGTTTTAGGTCCATAGGGACTTATTGAATATTTCACAAAAACCCGCGTCATCCACACTATTCCAGCGAGGCGGGTTCATCATGTAAACAGCCACAGAAAAGATGTTTGTGCTGGTTTATAAGTGTAACACCGTTTGCTCGTAGTTGCAAGTATTATGATTATTAACAGATAATTTTTAAATCAGTACTGAGTCTTGTCACTCTTGCCATAAAAGTCACACAGGTCACAATCATTGTCCGGTTGATATATGACAAGAACATAAATTTCGAAAACAACTATTTATATATAAGTATCTATTTCATGGTGATAAAAACATAGAAAACATACAAATTGAAGACAACAACTAATACAATGTTTCCGTATAAAATTCTTATAAATCTTATGAATGTATATATTAAAGACTGTTTTTTTTAAATATTGTAGATATTAATGCGGGATCAATAGTAGACACACAGATCATCCGTCTGGCGTCTAATCTAATCATGATTATAAATGCTGGACTCGAGGCAGTATTTATATTCATATAATTACCCAGAAATTCATCTTGATGTATTCATACACAGACGAACTATCAGACTACATTTTCCTTGCTCTAAATCGGGCCAATCCAATCATCCACTTTCAAGATTTGTTTCAAAAATAGTTATTATTATTACCTTCATCAGTAATTCCATCAACATTGTCATTGACATCACCCTGAGAACTTGTTCCATTTACTGAACTCACACGATTGGACTGGTTGTCAGAAAGAAATGAATGCGATCTTGAAATGCTTAGTTCGATTGTATCACATTGGAGAGCTTTGCTAAACGCTTCCTCTGCCCTGATAGGAATAATATCATACAACATCTCGTCAAATTATAGCAATACAAAACTTTATTTTATACTTTTACCACAGATCTAGAACATGTTAACGACACACTGTCAACACACGTCTTTCATAAACAATATGAAAGGTTACAGATACAGAATATATATACAATGAGAAAAAGAAATTTTTGATAAATTGCCAGACGTTTAATACAAAGAACTACCGCATTCAGTCCTCACAATGCAATAAACAGAACAGACTGAAATACGTATTAATGATGCGTTATTATGTTAAATAGGGTGGAGAATTAAGTGCCTCACAAGTGGTGTAATATTTCACGTGCATGTCAATGTTGACTTTAGCTGTCTTTACACGCTGTCGGGGCGATTTTAAAACGTACCGAAATGATATTTCAAAAATATGTGGTAAAAATCATCAGGCTACCATTAGACTACCAACATTTGTCATCAAATTTGCATTAAATTTATGTTTCATTTTATTGTTCACCCACACATCAGTGTTATGCAATTTGATTCAATATGGTAATTATGAATTTGTGTCTTGAGCATTTTGCATACTTCCGGTCGTCGGATAAAGAGGAAACTACGTGGAAATGACCTTACTTTACGACAATGCATCATTGCCTTTTAAGTTTTAATTACGCCTGGTAGAATTTCCGCCCAATTTCATAATTCGTTGTACTCAAAATGTCTTCACACCAGAACAAAAACGGTGCTAAATTTACACTCAATACACTTACAATTGGGTGTAAATATCACGATTGATCAGTGTATTTGATGTTCACTAACACAAAACCGGTGTAAAATTTACACTAAATCAGCGTCAGAACTGCAATGAATTTACATCATTGACGAAATTTTGCGGATGTCTATAAGTCAAATGTCATTACGCAATAGAGCTTATCAAATATACAATCTCGCCATGGGGGTGCATGGGTTTTAGGATGCACTATTTTACTCTATTATACTAAATAAAATTTCCAGTCACGTCTTTCTCCCCTGAGATTTGCCAGAGTGTTTTGTCTTGCATAAAAGTGCGATTCTTTATACCCTTATTTCGCCAAATACCATTACCAAAAGGGTCTTGTTCGTATAAATGTCCACTAACACAAAAATTGTGTAAACGTTTACGCTAAACGCGGACGTGCAAGTCAATGCATATCAAAGTTACAATCTCGCCATGGGGGGTAGGGTGGGTATAGGATGCGACTATTTTACTCAATTATAGTGGCTCGATATACCAATAGTTAAAATTTCCAGTCACGTCTTTCTGAATATCTACCGCAGTGCTTTGTCTTGAATAAAAGTGCGATTCTTTATACCCTTAATTATTTTGGCAATGATACACTATATATATGTATATTGTTGTTTAACATTAACATACCAGATAGAAAAAAGGGCCTTCATATATGTATGCCGGAAACCCTGTTCAGAATAATCGAACAACGTCACATTTAATGTGTTACGTCCTAAATGAGCCCATTATACAATTATACGAATTAAATTTTGAAGGAAATTCTACGTCAAAACCTGGCCTTTAACAATGTGCTACTCAAACAATGCACACTTCCCCTTTTTTGGCGATATTGCATATACTATATTTCAGTACTAAATACTAAATGCTTTCTTTCATCATACAGATGTATATTTAAACTGGGAATATGTTTTTAAAATGCTTCACTATAGAAGGATAGGATAGTCCTCGCCTCCTCGGTACTCACGTGTGCGTGTGTATGTATGTGTATTTATACATTTATTAACATCGTTCATATATATTAATATCTATGTTATTGTTATAAACCGTAACGACTTACTTAGTTATTTACCCATGTATTCTATGTCCCAATATTGGGACTTTGTTTGAATAAATTAGTATTATTATTTGCCTATATATACATGATTATACACAATATTATACAATTTGAAAATTAAAGTAGATATGTCATCTAATATCAAGTAAAAGTTATATAGTCAGCTGAAAATTATATTCTTCACTTTCACCAAATCTGCACATTTTAGTTATAACTGTTGGCCTATTTAACGGTACATATACCATATATGGTAACGAAAATATCTTGCTATTTAAAGTATGTTAATAAATGAAATTAAACAGGAAGTGGCTTTCCTTTCCTAATTTCCGGACGAAGGGCCTTCGCCCGAAACGTTCAGGTAGTGGCATCCCTGTCAAAGTTGTACAACACATCAATTCAGGTAATACCCTTAACCGGCGCACGTGGTACAGTATTATGTGTTTAAGAATGAATAAATGACATCTATAGAGTCATAAAGGTCATAAATCTGCTCGTTTCGTGCCAGTTGCATGTGTATATGTTTTTAAGTTGGCCAACCTTAGTGCATGGCAAGTCTCGCAAATGGTTTTATATTTCTGTTTCAGTTATTCGCGGTGAGATATAGTATACAGAAGTACGTAGTGGCCACAATATTATTCATTACACAATGATGAATTGATGAAACGTCTTCATATGAAGAATATGACAAATTGACAACTTACCTTTCGTTACTGACATTTGTGAGATCTTGATTATTTACAGCCACAATACGATCAGCTACCTTGATAACGCAAAGAAAGGCATTATTCCTAACAGTGTCCAGGACTGCTTGGCATGTATTAAACTACTGTATTCAAATTACAAGTTTTTGCTTAAATCTACCAAATTCAGTTACGTGTCTCTATAACTAGACCACAACAAGTACATACATGTACAGTCTGATAAATACATTTCAAGAAAAGCGTATGAGAATATTCTTAAAAATAATTTGAAATTCAATGCATGAAAATGAATTAAACACGATTGAGTAAAATAACGAATATATAAGGAGTAAAAAAATTTGAGTAAAATAATGCACCAATCCACAGTGACTCAAAATATTGAGGAAAATGACTCAAATTTATGAGCAAATTTACTCATTTTTCTGAGCAAAGTTTCAATTTTTTTTGAGTAAGGATGTACTTTGCTCATAAGTTTGAGTGATTTTACTCAATAGCTCGAGTCACTGTGCAGGGTTCGTTATTTTACTAATTTTGAGTCGAAACACTCAGGGCTTTTTTGCAGTGCAGTTTTCGGTTTTCGAAACTGTACATTTTCTACTTTTTTTTCAAAACCTTTTCTTGTTCATTCATATATTGAATTGTGAATGAATTCAAAATGATCTTATATTCTTCGGAACTTATTTCTTTTTTATTATTGTGTATTTGTGACGCATGCTATGTTTTTATTGGCTAGCAGTTTCCGAGGGTTGGGTTCAAGGTCAACAATTAATATGAAGGTTACCCGATTAGCCGTCTAGAGCGAACGCATAATCGTATCTCATCTAAAGAACCAACCAGAGACAAGGGGTCGCTACCACATACAGTATATGAACGGGCTTCGTGATTGGTTGATTATAACAATAAACTATAGAAATCATCTTCTACAGAACGAGTCATAAACACTGACGTGCACTATTGTTTTATGAAGCCTATATCACAAATGCTGATCATTTTAGGTTGGTATTTACCGGTCCGGGACATGTTCAGGGGAGTTACTCACTCTGTACTTAGCGAAACAGCTACAGTATAGCAGATCAGAATGATTTGCGACTTACAGTCGATTTCAACTTACTTTTCACTAAATTGTTGCGAACTTCGTTCCGAACTTCGCAAATTCGTTGCCAAGTTCAAAAGTTCATAATGAAATTCACAGACAGGTATATAAACAAAGCCTCTGATTGGCTATTAAATCAAACCAGCCAATCAAATGCTCAGTTTACAAACCTGTTTGTGAATTTCATTATGAACTTTTGAACTTGGCAACGAATTTGCGAAGTTCGGAACGAAGTTCGCAACACTTTAGTGAAAAGTAAGTTGAAATCGATTGTAAGAGTTTAAGTTATAGTAAGCAGGGGCGTAGCAGGGGCGCACGTGCCCCCCCCATTTTTTCAAAGGACTAAAAGTGCCCTTTTTTGTGATGAAAAGTGCCCTTTTTGTACAAGCTAATGTCGCTGTAAATACTAAATTAACATCAAAGGTGCCCTTTTAGTTTGGAAATTTCCAAGTTTTTTTAAAGAATTTGGTCAAAAACGTGTAAATTTTTCTCCTCCCCCCCCGTCGCCAACATTTCCGGGAAAAATGTTTTAGGTGCCCTTTTCAATAAGCTAAAGTGCCCCTAGAAGTCGGTGCCCCCCAATCTTTTGATGCTTCCTACGCCCCTGATAGTAAGGATTATAAAGAGATATCCTGTTCCTGGCCAGTGGGTTTGTCCAGAATAGACGCGCCGACGCGGCTTTTTTTTCTTTCTTTTTTATCAAGGAGGGGCTCAGTGCATTTTTCTTGTTTCTATGAAGTGTATGGTAATTTTTTATGCTCTTAACATTGAACTGTCACCAAATTTGCAGGTTTAATAGAATAAAATGAGAACTACAAAAATACATTAAATACTCAAATAAATAAGATAATAAATTATTATATAATCATAATTTAAAAATACATTTAAAAATGACGCACGCACTGATCAAAAACGGAATTTTTTTACGTCTTATGTATTTAATTATACAAAACGGGCTTGTGTACCTGCAGAAATAATTTATTTACTACGTATAGTAATTTCAAATGCTGTATTGGATAATGAAATGTTCTCTGTTTTTGCAATAATTAGATGTCTTGTGTTATATAAAGATTTACCCAGTTAAGAAGTACGGAAATAAATATCTACAAAGTTAAAAGAATAGCTGTACAATGACAGAATGAGAAAGATGGCTATAACGGACCTGCCTACAAGCGTAAAAACGAAAACCTTGTTCCAGGTTGATATGGACAATCTTGAACAAGGTCGGGTTGTGCTGCACCCTATTAAGGAACAAGTTGTCAACAATGTCGCTATACAGAATTGTTCAGTTGTGACAATACGGTAACAACATTGTTGACAACTTGTTTTTAGGGTGCAGCATAACTTTGTTCAAGCCTGTCGATATTAACTGGAAACATGCGCATATTTACGCGTGTATAATAATAGGCAGAAAGCTAGATTAGGAAATACGGCGGGTTATAAGACTATATAGTATACGAGGGGCTTCGGTGGTGCAGTTTAATTCAGATCAAGCGCCTTTTAACTCTGAAATTTCAATTCGTTCCGGAAACAAGAGTTAATGAACGCCCTACAGTATATCGAAAGTTGTGGGTTCTCTTTCGGTATCCCGCCTCCGCTTTCCACCTGCAGGGAATGTTCTAGTAAAGTTACCACATCGTCATTAAATAAATAATACTACTACACTGATACTACTAATGAAAATTTATTCGTTTTCCGATATTTCAATTTAGTTTTATATAAAAATGAAATGCATGCATGTATTGAGTGTTTGCAAAAAAGTATAACTTTCCATTGACTGTATACACGGCCATCTGAAAATCAACCTTATAAATTGTTTTAATATTACTTTTTTGTGTTTTTAATGTTCTAAATGTAAACATCGATAGATTTTTAACTTTTAATTTTTAATAGTTAGGATATGGTTGAGATGTTACCGTATACATAAATAAGTGTAAATAGTATACATTCTTATCTCGCACCTGTACACGTCCATCACGAGCTGCGCAACCTTTCGGATCAATTTCAAAAACAATGAGACCAAGCTCACTACAAGTGAAAAAATATCCACTATTATGCATTGCAAGAGATCAGTGGCAAAGATAGTCATGGCAACTGGTCGTGCTATGCTAATAAACCTGCATCGAAACAGATTACGGGCATTAGGGCAATACATTTATAAAGGTTTGAATAATACAAATCATTAAACTGCCTATATGCATGACACGAAATTTCACCCCAAATGTTTATATATGATCGCATTGTAAAGATCACTTATAAAATGACTTAATAATTTATTTTATAGAATTTTGGTAACTTGCTTCCTTTGCAAGATATTCAACTTTGTTTCATATGCAAATATCTCCGGTGTGACATCACATCGCATAATGACATTTTAAAAACGCAATATTTTACCTTGATAAAATATTTTTACAAACAAATACAGTGGGTTAATTACCAGTTATGAAATTAATACATATACAAGGGCAATTTTTAAGTTTTTTAGATACGTATTCGTCAAGAAAACTATACTTTTCTGAAAACTCATTACGTAATGTGATGTCACACCGGTGATATTTGCATATGAAACAAAGTTGAATATCTAGAAAAGGGAGCAAGTTACCAAAATTCTATAAAAGAAATTATTAAGTCATTTTTAAGTGATCTTTACAATGCAACCATAAACATTTGGGGTGAAATTTCGTGTCACAGGCACTTTAAAAATTTGCATAGTATGACCTGTTTCTGTAGCTAGCTCGCCACTGCAACAGACCGTCTGTCCTCAGCAGTGGCGAAATAGTGATGGTACTTTGTATCCAAATGGAGTTGAATAACTTGCTGAGCGTCCCAGTTGGGACATTCAGAAAGTAGTATTGTTTTAGCAAGTCCATTTTGACTCAATTCACAGGGCTCCAACTCATGGCCACAAAGTACTATTCCTCACACTGTTGAGGTCAATGCTTTCATTCCTGACGGGTTCAGCCAACATTGTCCCATAATCATAGTTTGTAGATGAAAATTATATACAATCTTAAATCTAACCAGGGCCAGCTGCATGATTGGACATCCGCATGATTGGACATCCGCATTGAGCGTATGACGTAAACGACCTACTTCTATACATGCAGTTAACCACGCTGTTTCTAGAATTGCTTAGTAAGAGTTCTTTCAAGGTGACATACTGTCAAGTCATACAATTATGAGAATATCGTAACTTCCAACAGTCAATTCTAAGAATTATTTTACCTCCCATCAGCAGTTTTATATCCTTGAACAGTAATTCCAAGATTTTCTCCCATGGTTGGTTTTAGAACAATATTAAGATGTTCAGAATCCCTGTATAAACAAAACACCCCGGAAATTACTCAGCACTGTAGGCGGTTTGTTATGACATAGACTTGATATACAAGTCCCAAAACGAAATAAACTGGGGAATTTGTTGGGCAGCATCATTACAGGATGGTATTCCCAAAGATGCGCAGTACGGAATGCGGAATCTATGAAAAACTATTTCCTGAGATGCAAGAAAACATGGACTTTGACACTTGGTATATAATAATCTTAACTACAGTCAGTAGACTCTGCATTTTCCACAAACACTTTTATGAAAGATTTCCCTTTTTCCACCATGCATGCCTTCCTTCATTCCCATAGGCAGCCCAGCAAATATTTACTTACAAATGCGTTAAACGCTTAAAAATACGTATAAAGTTCGTCCGACTTCAGATGTTTACGTCATTGTATTGTCATATAGCATTATATCCTATATTACAGACACAAGATATAGAATATAATACCAAATGACAATACAATGACGTAAATCTGCATACATAATGAGCTACATAATAAAACACTTGATAGCAAAGTCAGACGAACTTTACTACCTAGGGTCCTAGGCTATGCCAACACATGAACTGTAAGCTTGGCTAAAGCCTTTGTTCAACCATTTCGTAAAATTGTACAAAGCCAAAGTGAAAACAATGAATTTTCGCCGGGCATAATGAAACAATCATTCAGTAGGATCATCTATAGAATTTTGAAGTTTGCCCTAAGGCAATGATTGAAAATGAGGAATGGAGTGAAAATCGAATGTTCAGCATGAGCAAACACATTTTGACAGATTCCGCCTTACGTTGTTTCTATACAATGCATAAAATTACATGGAATTTTCATGGAATTTTCATGGGATATTGTATAGGGGCCAAGAATTCTGTTCGCTCCTTTTTGATGAAATGCACAGTATCACGTTGTTGTCCATGTCTATTTATAGTTTGATTATGACTAAATCGCAGAGAATCGACTTTAACCATTGAACGCCAATTTCCTAATCTGAGTCTTTTAATCGAGCGGTGGCTTTTTTCAGCCTTTTAGATAGAAAGCCTTTAAGATTGAATATACAGATGTGAAAATGAAATAATTAACAAGTTTACCGTCGTTTGCACCTAATGATGAACAATCGAAGATCAAAACATTGCGGTCTAGTCTCACTTGTAACGAGCGTTTGAAGACAGTAAATAAGCTTGGCCAGTCAGCGTGAGGGTTGTTAAATGTGATGGCCTGGTCATATTAAAACCTGAGCATAGGAAATCACATGAGCATAGGCAATGTCTTGATCGTTCATCCTTATTTGCCAACAACGGTATTAAAAACATCTTCTTACTCAGGTTCAGATAAAGCCAACGATATCTGTCTGCTAATTCTTGTACTAGAATCAGGCACTGCCATTTTTTCAACGGGCGATGGTGGAGCACCAGTGGGTTCATGTCTTTTGAACTACAAGTAAACCAAGAGGTTTATTTAATAAATTAAATTGGCTCAAGACTTTTGTCCGTCGTTGTCAAACGGATAAAAGAGAGACTGAAAGAAAGACTGGCTTAATACGCACTGCTTAATGAAGCAGATTGAACGTATCTGATTGGTTAATGAGGTAGATTGAACGTATCTGATTGGTTAATGAGGTAGATTAAACGCATCTGATTGGTATAAGGTTGGGCGCATGAGAAGAGCGACATTTGACCCGGGCCTTAACTTCGTCTGCGTAGGCATTAATATACTGTATAGCTACAATGTGCAAATACATGCATGTACATTTTACCCAAACAATTAGACAGATTTAGATCGAGGACGCGGACGTCAAAGATGACGTGAAATGGCGTGGCATATCAATACATGGGCACAACACGCCATTTTCACGTCGTCTTTGACGTCCGCGTCCTCGATCTAAATCTGTCTATTACCTCAGAATAAGATTCTTGCATATCAATCCATCTATCTAAATGATCACTTTTTAAAGATTTCCTAGCAGGTTCTCTTTTAAAAGCAGATATATCACTCTCATCATCATCACCATGTTCACCACCTTCATAACCTTCCACATCTGATCCTGATGATCTGCCTTCCAAATGTCGACCACCGTTCTCCCTCGTCGCTTCATGATTTTCACCAGAGGCAGAGGTCAATGTTGAATGTGAACTGTGAGGTGAAAAGCTTTCTACGTATTTTACTTGTAAAGAATTCTTATGTTTATAGTCATCTAGTATCCTCTGTGGTTGTCTGTTGTTCGAATACGGGTTGGTTGCAATTGGGATGCCTTCAATGGGTCCACCTTGAAATATATCAGGACTTGCAGTACCAACAGATGATGTGCTGGTTCCATCACCGCCATTATGCCCTGGCCGAGTAACTAGGTTTTCTTCAAAAGATGCGATTACCTAAAATTATAAAAGATCTTATATTTATATCTGTATATACTGTCAAAAATAGACCCATAAAATTTTGATCGTGTTAGCGAGGTTGCCGTATTATCAATATGTACAAGTACAGTATAGTCCGTATATATGAATAAATCGACTTTAGACAACATTCCATGTCATTAGTGTATTAGTACATTTAGAAACCAAGATTACAAGAATTGTACATTACGATGGTTTAGCAATATACTGTAGATTGTGATTGGCCATAAAGTTTGACGTGGCCGTAACGACTGAAGGAACGCAAAGATCATGGAAGTACGAGGCATCAAGCCATTAACCAGGTCAACAACACAGTATTGTTCGGAATAGCACCTTCAATGGCACACGAGCAGAAATCATGGCTGGTGGCTGAGCAGAAATCGTGGCTGGTAGCTGTCACTGAAATATGTCCGTGGAGGATCCTCAAAGCACAACACACTGGTAATGCAGATGCTACCGGACCACCGGAAAACAACGAGGAAGAGAATGACCAATTGTGTCGCCACCGATAGTTCGGTCACAAGGACAATTCATTCCAAAAAGTAAGGGACGAAGCCGCCCAAAAGACGTAATTTATTACAGATCATGGGGGGTGAGTCCCCCTCACAGGGTGTCCACCCTTTGGTGAAGGTGAAATTCAAGGACTTTTCCAGGACTTTCAAGGCCCATTTTCAGAAAATTCAAGGATCTAGAACTGGGAAAAATCTTTGAAAATGGCACGGATTTGCCAAGCAAATAATTCACTTTATTCAGTAATTTTAATCAAAATCACTAATGTTGGCACAGCTGGAGGTTAAGGAAATTAATTCCAGGACTTTCAAGGACTTCTACTGTTTTTCAAGGACTTTCCAGTCCTGGAATTTTGTTTTTCCAATTCAAGGACTTTCCAGGATTTTCAAGGCCCGTGGACACCCTGCCCTCACCATGGATTGACGCACTTGTTTAGTCACAATACACGCTTCCGGAAAGTACGTCGCTTTGGCTATAGAGCCTCACTTCAGTGATGTTTTCCAGGGGGAACGCGGGGGAACGCCGTCCCCCACCTTTTTTTACCAGGGGAACGGCGTTCCCCTTGCCAAAATCAAACATGGGGGAATGCCGTTCCCCCTGGCAGGGATTAAATATTAGCGAAGTTCAGTGAACGCCGTTCGACGCCGTTCGTCCAAATAATTTTGGCTATCACTTGTTCTACATACGTGTTATTTGCCGAAATTTCTAGCAGACTAGTACAAAATAATAGTCTAGAGTCTTATGATTGACGTCCACTTAGATAGTTCACAATCAATTGTCATCAGCACGGAGATAACGTCAGGCAGCAGCCCAGCGGGATATAATTTGAATTACCTTATGCATGGAGTTAGCAGAATATGATACCTTAAGAACACGTAGCTTGCGCGCGGTAGATGTCAAAAAGCAACTAAAACCACGTTAACTTTCCAATTTCGATGATGCATTAGGGACCGGTCATTATTTATGGCGGGGGGTGGCACAGAAGAGAAAAGGGTTGGGTAATCAAAATTTTGAGTGAGTAAAAGGTTGGGTAAATGAAAAACAAAACAACTCAAGGGTTGGGTAATAAAAATTTATTGTCATTTCCAAAGCATGACTCACTGAAATATTGGAGACTGAAAAGCAATGTCAACAGTCATTTGTCAATACAATACGTGAATCAATCAGAGTCACTATCTTGATCATTTTGACAAAACAAATGGTGTTTCCAAAGAAAGTGCATGTGCAGACAACATGAAACTTTAGACTGCAGAAAATTTCACAAGCCGTTATCAAACTCATGTCATAGAAGTGGTAAAAGACATATGTGACAACTGAATGGTATCCTTTTGTAGTTTTTGGCCAGGGGTGGGTAATTATTTTTCAATTTATATTTGAGGTTGGGTAATCAATTTTTTGTCTTTTTAATGGTTGGGTCAGCAAAATTTCTGCCGCGAAAAACATTTCTCTTCGGTGCCACCCCCCACCATAAATAATGACCGGTCCCTTAGTGCTATGTGAGTCAACCAACTCGGCAAATAGGCAACTTTGCAAGTTAAATATGACGTTTTCACGAGTAACTAAATAAGCTTGGATAATAGATATCCTTGAATCTTTCCCATTCATGTTAATGTTCTTATTGAATCATTTTATGTTCCCATTGATGATTTTAATGTTTAATTTCGCGAATGCGTGAAAGACTATACTAATTTATAAAAATCAAGCCTAAGCCAGAAATTGTAAAATAGGTTGTTGACCATTGTAGTTAATAAGAGATATGATTTCTAAAAGATCTAAAATCGTTGAATTCTTTACTGAAAAATCTGTGGAAGACATAATTTCAGAAGTTGAAACTGGCTTCGTAGCCATCCGTTAACCGTCATCCACAGCAATGTGACATATTTTGACAAGCTTGCCTATTAGACTAAAGTCACTAAATCCCCGCTTGTTTAATTTCATGGCCAATGGCCACGCCCAATCGAATGACCACGCCCATTTGATTTTCAAGGGCGTCCCCCCTCTTCTAAAATTAGCAAAACATCGCTGCCTCACTTTCGTGTAAGTGACATTAAAGCTCAACGTCTCAATCGCGAAAACGAGGCTATATAGCCAAGGTGACGTATTTTCCGGAAGCGTGTATCCTCCACCGCCATAGTGTGTATCAGGGCAATCCAGTATAACAAGTTGTGTTGGTCGTACCCTAAAGACTGCTTACAGACCTGTTGAAGCTTTCACACAACGACACGGCCCTAAGTCGCGAGAGAAGTGCAATTGTGGATAGCTGAGTTGGAAATGTGCAACCTCTGCAAACAAAACACCTATGAAGAGCATAGAAATAAGAAAACCAATTGAAGCTGAGGATCTCTTGCATCCAAATGACTGCATATATATGGAAATCAGTAGACACTGGTTATGGTTGAAGGCAAGTTAACGCATTTGACTGGATTTGAATGCCTATTAACAGCCTATGTTAAAAACAAAAGTGACTTGTTTTTTTTTCACGTCCTGGTAATGGTGTTCATTCAGCCACTATACCACTAGTGTTGATGGGTATCTTCAGCAGAAGTAAAGGAACAGTCTATTTCTATAGGTAATCGCATGGGGCCGAGTAAAATTAAGGTTTAATTTCACGCGTGTTTTCAAAGTTTTACAAATTGCCCGAGTCGGGGAGCGACGGGGGCAATTTGTGAAACTTTGAAAACACAAGTGAAATTAAACCTTAATTTTACGAGGAACTATGCAATTACTTGTTAATAATTTATTCGTAAGTTTATTTATTTATTTATTCGTTAGTTTATTTAATTATTTATTCAAAATTTATTCGTAAGTAAATTGTGAACTTCTTGTCAAGTTCTTGAACCTCGTACTGTATGTCTCCATATCTTCGCCAATGTTCCTTAATTAATTCTGCCCATTTCTTAAATACTCCAACCAATAAATTTGTAGGCCTACTTTTTCTAGTGTTCAAGATTTCACTAGAAGTTTTTAATTCTTCAATAACATCATTATCCGCAACGACAAAGTGAGAAGTCATTGTTTTCATTGCTATTTAAAACAAGAAACTTCCCGCGCTTGCGTCTCAGCCAATCAGGCACAACTAATTTTGCCCTGAATTAAGAAAAAATGCCCTCCTCATTAACCAATCATATTTGAGTAATATTGCCCTCTATATAATTATATACTGCAACAAAGAAAATCTTAAACAATGTCCAAAGCAAAGATTAACAAGGCACAGAGGTAACATGAGATGGGGGAATGACCATAATAACGTTGATCAAACAATGCCAGTCAACAAAGAGGATAGTACGTGGATCAACATGAAAGCTGTTGAAATAGGTTTCAGCTGAAACTTCAAAATATAGCAGGGCAGGTCCTACAGGGTAGCCAGTTCTCTTGTTAATGGTACTACAGTACATCATTGACAGTACCAGATTAATCTAGCATTGGTTACAGTATTGATGCCACATGTAAATTTTTCATTGCTTTTAATTAACCCATTGAGTCGCATTGCACCCTGATGCACCCTACTTTATTATTTCACTCGTCAAGGGGAGAGCGCTGATGCTTAGTGGGTTAACTGGCCTATCTGCCCATGTGTCTAATTAACCCATTGAGTTGCATTGTGCCCTGATGCGCCTTACTTTATTATTTTACTCTGTCTAATTCCAGACGATTTTACTCGTCAAGGGGAACGCGCTGGCGCTTAATGGGTTAAATCAATAATCACTAATCACCCACTTGTATTCCCAATCCTGCAAAGTCTTTGCAAGGCTAAAATATCTGGTATGAGAGGTATCTACTTCAGGTGAAGGTTACATTATATGATGAGACTCTGATTTTGTCAAAAAAAACTTTTCTAGATATAACCATTTATAACATGATTAAAGTAAACAACCTAATCTAATGGGAAATACTATAATTATGATCAATTGGTTGCCCTTTAATTGGTTGTCCTTAGAGAGCAAATTCACTCTTCTGCAGAGGTTTCAACTGCCAAGAAACAGTGCAGCAGACATTATGAAGACTTTTCTTGTTTGAATGTACATTCTGCAACTTCTTGAAATTATACTGTACTATATTGTATCCTGTTTAATTAAATCATGTGTACCACAAAGCTGAAACCCTTACCTGGGTTGTGGAACCCAACACTACCAAAAGTACAATATGCATTGCAGCAAATTCGACTAATGCCTGATAATCATATTTTGATCAATGATAGGAGTTGCCCCTGTTTTTTTCGAACAAGCCAATTCACTCCCAAAAAGACCCTGGGTACGAGGATAGCCAGTTCATTGGGTCATTCCAGAAAACATCCATACCACCCCCACAGAGGAAATTGGAAGTTAACCCCCCTATCCCCTTCGGATGTCCTAATACATTTACTATTATCAGAAACATTTTTTTCTCCCCTCCCCCTCCGCAGGCCTGGATAAAGTATTTCTCTTCCTCGCAGCAAAATCCAAAAATAGAAATTTCCTACTAAACTAATTAAATATTTCCTGCGAGAACTTTTTTATTTATAACCAGAGATTTATAACTAAGAGGACAAGCACTAATGTGAAAAATAGAATTATATACTTTTAAGAAGTAGCTACTACACTCGACAGGAACATCAATGACACTATATGAAATAACTTTTTTTTATTTATTCTGGCTGTTCTGGGAAATTATTTAGTTGACAATTTGTCTTTCCGAGTTTCTGTTATCACTGATCATGCACTGATGATGCAATCATCGCTCATCACTCATCAGTATTATCTAACTATGTACTTATCCATGTGTACCTCTATACTATTGATAGATTGTTACAGGTAACGGTATAAATATTGTATAAATATCAAGGTTCGATACTTATAGATAAAAATAAATCATAAATGAAGTCATCAAGTTCATCAGTATAGCTTTGTAACAATCAGAAAATAGTTCAGAAATTTTTATTCAATTCATTTCTTACTGCATGAACGGCAGTCTTGACTTCTCTTGCAGCATTCTGTTTACAACCTTAGAATTGTTAGATATACCCACTGTGTCAAATAGGCTGATGTCATTCGACTTCTTACACATGCTGCTCTTATGCTGCCCTTTGAAATGTTGTTTCATAGCCGCCATCACAACTTTATCACATTGGGCTGGTGAAAGACCATTAACTCTGACCATCATTCGTTATACGCGGTATCCTCATTCACATTTCTAAATTTATTGAAGTGAATCTCAAACTTTGATGTTAATGATTCAATCACTGATTCCACAGAAATTTTCACAGGCTCACAGCGGACACACAAATGAAGTGGATAATCATCTCAATTCCTTTGTACAACTCTTTGTCGAATAACCTAATAAGTTCTTTGCTGTCGAAATCATCATTCTTTTTGTTTCTGACCACTTGCTCCAGCCGTACCAGAAATTCCTGGAATTGAAGAATTTAATATGGTTTCGTCCGGAACCTCTTTAACGGATGGGATTATTTTGCGTAGCGTCGTTATACTATACTTCGCTCTTTCTATATTCGAAATAAGGATGGCACCTCTCAACTTTATTCTAACTGCAGTGGTCTTCAAAGCAGTAATCAGCCTGGTATCCTCGATCATTTCTTTGTCTGACTGAGCATAGAAGACTTGATCGCGTAAATGTTTCTCCAAGCGTGTGATGAGCAACAATACTTGCTTTAAAACATTATCTCGCACGTTTTCAGCTTTGTTTGCATTTGCTCTTCTGGCTAAAGACCTTGTTACATTTGGCCCCTCTTTGTACACCCATGTATTCACCTGTATCATCCACTTGCTTTATATCATCATGATATACAGGCCAAGAGCAGGATTTCGTGTCACATTTTTCATGATTCATTCTTTCGGACATATTCTCAGTTTCATGAGGAAGAGAGTTGACTTTCTGCACCACATTTACCAATTCTCCATACTTCTCATAAATATCAGTTACACCAGATCTGATAGTCTCAATACGAACAGCAGCATTTTGCCTATCTTTCGAGTCACCGTCTCTCTTTTCAGTCTTTGTCATCTCGAGACACTGCGCAATTGTTCGATAATCCTTACGAAAGTTCATATAAACTTTCCTGACACTATTTGCAAAACGAGTAGTGCTATACTTAGCTGGATTTGCAAGCACTTGTCCCAAGGATTCATACGCATCTGCAAGTGCTTCGTAATTCTTCCCCCGATTGAAATTCTTGAGAACAGCTGCAACAACTTCAGTTATCTTATTCAGAAACTTGAAATTGTCATCTTCTCGACCAAGCCAGCTTTGTGCATGGGATTGTAATCATAATGGACAGACGCGTCTTCTCCTCCTGTGCCAAAGTGGGTACTTAGGACCTCAGGAACAGAAAAGTGGAAATACTGGCCATCGAAGGATCCACCTTGAAATTGCTCGGCCGATATCTCAAACTCTTTCAGCACGGATATAATAATTTGGCCGACACCTTCGCCAGTGTGAATTTTCACAACTGGTAGCCTCGGAAACATATCTTGTAGAAGGTCATCGGCATCTGGTATTACGCTAGTCAAACCAACAAACTGTCGAGTGCGATGCTTGCATGTTTCTTTGTATGCTAACACTTTAACAGAAGATGCAAATCCGGTTTGCTATAGTGGTTTTTTCAAATAATCTTTCACATTATCTTTGACAACTTCAGCAACAGATTCCAGAAATTTCTGTAAATCGCTGTTTAAGCTGTTTGATTGATACGTCGAAACTGACACGTTCGTTAGTAAGCCGTAAGGGCTAATCTGCGCGTTTGAAACGTAAATTAAGACTGTTATAATAACAAAAGACAAAGTGAAAACCGTTCGTAGTTAGTTGCCTGTAAATGCGTAAATGGTAGTGTTTACTTTAGGCTACAAAATACAGTGTAATCTGATTTACGTCCTCGTATACACTTGTATTCTAAATCTACTCGATAGCAATTTGGAAATATAACTTTAACTATATTCTTCAAAGTGTCAAACCTAAAATAAATTATGAACAAAAAAATTTCCTGCGAGATACAAAAATATTTCCTGCGAGTAATTTTTGTGGAAAATGTCCGGCCCTGCCCCTCCGGACGGCAGGAATTTCCTCCGTGGGGGAGTGTGGATCTTTTCTGGAACGACCCACTTCGCTATGTATTGTACCACATCAATGATTTAATCTTATCTTAAGATTTAATGAAAGTATACAATTTTGAATATATAATTTCTGATTATCAATCTGATGTAAATACAATTTCAGGATAACTCCAAATTTTCCAGCAGGAACATGGCACGGGCCCCTAGGGATTCTCAACCATATAGGTTGCACCAGTGTTATCACTGTCTGTTTATCTGCTGGTTAACATCCCAGAAACTCAGGATGTCAGTATATCCAGACTGGGTATCAAATGGATTGCAAACACATACATTTAACACATGTACGCTGCAAAGGACCTTTCCTTCTTGAAGTATATATACTTTTTATATTTTCCAGGTAATTAGCTCCTTCAACCAAGCTGGTAAATAGGGTTAACTCATGAATTGAGCACCAGTGCTTCCCTTGACAAGTGAAATTGTCTGGTTATAGGGTGTAATGCATCTTAATGGGTAAACTAGACACATGGGTAGATACAGTAGTCTGATTAACCCATTGAGTGATAACCAGGGTTCGTACACCTTCTCCCATTTAAAATTCCATGACTTTTCCGTGACTTTCCATGACCACTTTTCTCAAAATCCATGACCTGGAAGTCTGGAATTTCTGAAATTCGTTAATATTTTAACGATAACAGACATAATATAAAAAGAACAAAATTCACTTAGTTCTTGCAAAAACCATTATATAACAACAATTCATATTATTGTTATGACTGGTAAATTGAAATAAGTAAAATACTTTGTTAATGTTTTGTAAAATTTCAATTTTCCATTACTTTCCATGACTAAAATAGTTCCATGACTTTCCAGGTTTTCCAGGACCCGTACGAACCCTGGATAACACTCACCCCTTGAAGAGTAAAATTAGGTCACATTAGGACACAATGCAACTTACATGTAATGCATTGCAAACACATGTATTTAACACATGTATGCTGCTGTATGCTGCGGCATTAATGAATGCTTTTCTTATGTTTAATGCCATCATAGACAATCCAGAAGCATGTCTTCTGGATTATCTATGATGCCATCTGTCCTTGCCTGTCTATAGCAGACATTGACAACCTCTATTTATTACTTTTACCTTATTCCCACTCATGTTTTGTTTTGATTATTTTTTGTAGTAATTGTCTTAACTTCCTGTATATTTTTATATTTTTAATTATTTTATATTCTGTAATGTGATTTACATATTTTGTTTACACTTTGTTATGATTAAATCCATCTAATTGGTTTATTTTTTGTCATGTGATGCTTTCATATTCTTAGTATAAAAGCCCGTGCATTTTCCCCGATCCCTGCCACTAACTCTTGACGAAGGGCCTTCGCTCGAAACGTCGAGTTTCTGCTTATTTTTTAAGGTAGTGATATAACCGCTCAGCACAGCATTTTTACATTGGTACTACCTATACTGGTACAGACAGTTTTAGTATGCTGCAGGGCTTTTCCTTGTTGAAGGGAACTTATATATTTTCCAGGTAATTACTGTAGCTCATTCAACCAAGCTGGTAAAGTCTGATTACCCATTGTGGCATTGTGTGCCAGCGTTCTTCCTATGACAAGTAAAATCATCTGGCATCAGACAGAGTGAAATATATTATAAAGCAGGGTGCAATGCATAACGAAGAATTAATCAGTACCTACACTGGAAGTCAACATATCAATTCTATTGCTGGTTTTTAGAAGCATATTATTTATATTTTAATGAGGGTGTCTTACAAGGTGCAATATTTTCCATTACCAAAAACTATGAAAACTATAAAAAATATGCACAGTATTGTAAACAAAGTCATGATGGCCTCATGATGTGTAGGTGTGAATATTGTTTTTTTGAATTTATACCAACAAAATTAGAGCATTGTTTGGGCTCATATTAAACAAAAACAATGTATACGCATATATAATTTGTTCTTTATCCATGGGATCAAGTATGTACCTGTTCTGATGTCAAATACCTAGTAGATCCAGTGAAGTATTAATGAAAATTTGAGGATTGTTGGATTGGCATATATTATAAAGGCATTGCGCGCGTTTCAAAACAAATTTAGAGAAACTGTAACAATATATTCACTAAATAAGGCTAATCCGTAACGTAAATAGATCAATGTCTGTTACTGAAAGCATTTCTTACCTTGTATATGGTACTCATGAGAAAACAAATTGCAAATAGCGACAGCTGAGTTCAAATAAATATTCAGCTTTGTCCAAGCCAAGGACAAAAAAGCGGGAAGAAACCCGTAAAGCAATAGTATAGAATGTTCAAAATATGTGTGTTAACTGAAGCATTTCATGGAACATTAATGTAAAGCACCAAATACAATAAATTTCGGTTATTTCTCAGTACATTTGCAAGGACAAAAGCAAACTTCCATTGCCATACGCTTGCTCATAGCGCTGAAATTTGACACTCCATATCACTTGAAGGAAAGCGAGAATATCAATAGAAATTTGAAACCTGAGCTGCATATTTTGTCAACACGGTTGGATATCACAATAACAGCTAAGTAATGTGAGAAATTGTTTCCTTCGATGTAGGTACTTCAAATTCAGATATTTTTCTACAATTTTCACAAGTAAGATTCTTTACATGAAAGATCTTTTAGTTCTACAGCAAATTTTGTGACAGCTGGAAACTGTACGTGGTACTATTTGATGTAAAAAACTGGGCACAATGACAAAACACACAAATGGAAAAGAAATAATTAAAACAGCACATACCGTTTCGAACGAGTGGTTAAAAAATTCGCACTTTGTAAATTGCAATTAGAATTTACAGATCAGTACTGTAGTGCCGCAGGTAAACTACTGTATATTTTTGAGAATGGTATAGTTTTGTGAAAACGTGATTAATGTATTTGAGGAGGAATTTTTATATGGAAAGAGTTCAATACCTTATCTCGATCATCAAGAACATCACCAACTGTATCGTCTTCGTCTAAAATGGCTCCTTCATCACATGTTTGTAAACAATGCACGCGTATGTAGTCGTCTGCATGCTAAGGAGAGAAACGTGTATCAACTTATTAACATTTGACTAATCATTGCAAGATATGGGGATTATTCCTGCTTTTTAATCGAAAAATATTGCTTACAAATGGCTTTATCAAATTATCAGCGATCGCTATAATTTGTAAAACTGCGGACAAATGCATGCTATTCTAACAAAACGGAAGCGGAGCATTGAAATGACCTTCAAATTAAATCCCTGTTTTACTCATTTTTAAAATCAATATAGTCAAGAAATAAATGCTAAATATCTTGGCCTTGGATATACATTAAGCTGAAAAGTTATTACTTGTTTTACCGCGTTGATATAAACTTAAAATCAATGTTGTAACATGTGATTTATGAAGCTTGTCAATGCAATATCCATTGATTGAATTTCACATCAGCAACTACATAAAAATTTCCAGTAGTGTTCATTATTTTAGATATAATTTAGATGCCTATTGGCCACAGATTAGTAAAACTTATATTAAACAACTTTAAGTTAAACCCGGCAGCTAAATGACTAAACAATCAAACAAAAGTGTGCCAAATACTCCCAAATAGTTTGCGAAATGCTCGTGTATTCATACACAGACAAAGTCGTTCAGCCAATGCTCTTAACAAAATTTAAGTTTTATCATAACAAATGAAACAATCAGTGAATTCAACTTGGGAATACTTACTTTATTCGTGACTTTTCTGTACCGAACAATAGCTTGCTGTACAAGTTCGCGAACAGGTAGTTCACTTCCACAAGGAACGACGATTTTAGTCGCTCCAAAGCACACAAAAATTTTCATATCTTCCAGCATTCATGCGCTATAAACATCGCCACCATAACGGTGTGTGTCTGTAAACCATATATAAGTAAAAAATATAACAAACTTACGTACGCTTGCAGCGTTTATATGAAATCGTAACAATATTGTTTTGAAGAATTTTCACGTACGGTGAATGTAAATATGATCACGTGACTTTAGGGCCAATAGGAAAGAACCAGACGACGCCAATGGCCCTGGACGCCTTGACAACACAATGACGCGGCACTCTGCATATATACCGCTCGGACGTGCACATTTCTCAGGGATTAACAGCGATTAATGGTTTAACTTTGAGAATTAAGGAATGACTGTGTGTGATACTAAAGCCATTTATATTAATTCTTAGTAACAAATGGGCTATTCTTTGCATTTTCATTCATAAGTTACATACTTCATGCACCTGACCTCAGGGCCAGGCTTTGCTTGCCGAAGCGTGCACTGATGCACTTCCGACAAGCTTCCACATTCCTGACATTCCTGCGTCACGGACTTTTCAACGGATTACAGATCAAGCTCTCAAAAATTTGCGTTGTTTGGTATTGCCGATATTGAGTTTTGTATTTATATATATATAACAGACAACATCAACATCGCGGCAGACAACATCTTTCTGCTTGCGCTGGGTATGGAAATTATATAATACACACTCTAGAACATTTTCATCTTAATATATATATATATATACATTTTTTTATATTATTTATTGTAGCCTTGCAGATTCTCAGGCATTTTTCACAATGGTTTAACTTATCACATTTGGCGGTTTGAACAGGAGAGTTGCGATCACGTTCCAATGAAGAAAAACAGCCGTTTCACACTGTAAAGTCGTTTCACACTGCCTTTCTTAGCAGACTTTCACCACTGAATGTTCAACATTGAAAGTCAAGAAAATATACATGCATGAAGTAAAAGCATTGCTCTTCTTCACATTCGCACTTCCGCTACTCGTCCAGTTTTCCGTTCTACGTCTAGTACTGACCTTAAAAATAGATTCTCGTTTCCTGAACAAGTACTACGCGCAATCTCACGGCTTACGCAAAATCACGTTTCCCGACACAATCATCTGCCATTTAATGGACCGATGAGGACAAAACATGGTGAGATTCTGTGACTGATTCCAGAAATTGCGGGAAGTTTTGAGAAAGGTCAATTTTCCTTTCAAAACGCGTTTTATAAGAAATAAGTTTTGTCGAGTTTTCAGACATTTTTTGATTGTAATGTCAGTTAGGGGCTGATTACATGGACCGAGCCAGCCCGGTTAACCGGGCTGAAAAATGTCACGAAAATCTTCCTTGGGCAGCAAAATGAGTTTTAAATCGGGTTTAGGATGATTTTGCATCTATACTAAACCAATTATTTATCGCAAATTTATTTTACGCGAGTTTTAAAACCACAGTAAGGTCCTAAACAAACGAGTCAGCCCGGTTAACCGGGCCAGCTCGGCACCATGTAATCAGCCCCTAAGACTTGCTTCAAATCAAGCCTCGCTCTCTCTGTCTTTTCCTTTTTTTCGTTAAGTTCGGAGACAGACTGTCAAAAAAGGTGGAGAACTCCGAAAGAAGAAGGCAATTCCATAGGTTTTCTCATCCCCCTTCTCACAAACTCCTAAACTGATATGTACAGATTTTTTTCCCTCTGATATTTATCATTTTCGCCAAACATTTGAGGAAAAGCATGAAACATACCTTCAATCTTTATCTTCCCATGCTGATAAAGAATATTACTGTGATATTGTTGTACGTTTCCACCTTGCCGCAAATCTAAGGCTTCGCGAATTTAGTGGGAGGTTTAATTGGACACGTCATAGTTTTGCCCATTCACATTCAGGACATGAATCACATAACATTGGTATAAATATGATAATATGACAAAGAAAGGCAAAGCCTGATCACTAAATATCCGTTAGCACGGTTATCAAGTGATTGTATCCGTACACTAACTTATATAGAGATCAGTGTGACAACATTAGAGCTGTAAAATCAAACGAACAATTCTGCACCTCTAAGCACAAGAAATGCCAAAACTTGAAATCACCCCAAACACAGAATAAACAGATATCTAATCTACTCTCTATCCCCAAATAAAAAATATAAAAAAAAATTCCATTAAAAAGTTAATGTGTGCAAATGGGACAGGTTAACAGGCTTACATAAAGTATAGGGTTTAGGACACGCAGATCGGCAGATGAGAAAAACAAGATGGCTATTTCTGCAGCAAAATGCCGGTATATGGATTTTATTGATGCTTTGACATCAGATTGTCGTGTACTACTTGCACGTTTCGAAGAAAAACAAAGTGTTCGTTTTGAGGCTTTCTGTGAAGTATGGAAGCAGCTTAAGTTTTCACTTATTCATCAGTAAGTTCATTGTCATGAATACTATAATTTACCCTTATAAATATACCAGCATGCATAATCAGAGTATTAAATCGATTATTAATCAAATGTGTTATCCACCAATGTTAGTTGTTTAATTGATGACTTATATTGTTTAATATGTTCTTTGATGTGTTGATTTTCAATAGTGTTCTAGTGCATAGTCAGATTTTATTTGAAGTGTTTTATTGGATTCGCGGACTATTTTTACTTAGTATAATTACATAGGTGATTATTGAAAATTCTCCACGCTGATTGGTTGCCGTTGAGGTGATTATTACGCGATAATCACCTAAGCTATTTTCAAAATGGCGGCCGAAGCCTTTTTGTTAATTAAATGATGAAGAAATGTGTATTTTCTTATTTTTTCCAAATAATCACCTATGAAATTATACTAAAACAATTATTCACCTCAGGCTCGGTGATTATCGTCAATAAAAACCTCGACTTCGTCTCGGTTTTTATTCACCGATAATCACCTCGCCTTCGGCAAATAATTGTTAATTAGGGGCTGTTTGCCGAGAGAAACAGGGGGGTGCTACCACCCCTCCAAAAAAATGTTCATCCCCCTAATATTCGGCATAATAAATAAAAACTTAAATATTTCACTCCAACGTGCAGAGTGTTGATGATACAAAATAAACGTTGGATTACACTTGAACAGAAAAAGACAGTGCAACACTCTGAAACTAATCGCTCGTCACTTGCATTCACTGGTTTATTGGAGCAATTGTAAAGTTTTGAAACTCTATTATCTCCCTGAATAGAGTTTGCAGTGCCTTGTCATGCGAATAGCTTGCACGCAAGGAACGTTTGGAATTTTTACGAACATTATTCTTAGTTTTTAATTCTTTTAGGCCCAAATATAATTTACATCAGATTCGGGAGACTGTTTAATGCGAATAATTATCATGTTCGTTGCAATAGTTGTGTGATGACATTTCTACTTTCTAGGCAGGTTGTTGACGTTGCAACACTGTTGTTTGTGCAAAGTAATTATCACCATATAAGGTGTAGAGCACTAGTGCCACCCCTGATGATGCGTAAAATACCGTATGCTGTATATCAATTATGTACAGTATAGTATGTAGTTCATAGCAGTTCAAGTTTCATCATAAATTGTACTCGGATTCAAACAACACAATGTCAATGACTTTAGTAAAAGTAAAAGCATATTGTGTATTGGGTTTACACTTTTACAAGTTCATTTAACTTTAACTCTCTAAAGTCTCAACAGACAATCGGACATGCCAAATCCATTGATATGACAACTTTTTTCGAAGCTAGAAATCATGATTTTTTTCAATTTTTTTCTGGGATACTTTGTTTTCTGCTCTAAAGACTCCCCCTTGTGGCTCTAGTGCTCCACCCCTAGAATAACCTGAGTATCAGGCCCTTATGTTTTCATTCGCCAGGATAATTGGCGGCGAAATTATGAAGGAGGGCCTGATACAATTCTTTACCGCGGAGCATGTAAAAAGCCAGATTCTGGCTTTTTCGTCTGATTGGCCGATTAGACAAACGATTTTTTAAATCTGTTATTTGATTGGCTGGTGCTAATTAGATTATACTATTGTTGTTGATATATTTTATAACAATCACAACTACAATTATAGCCGGCCCACTAAACGGCTGAATTTAAATTAAAACTGCAGTAAAATTAGAAAATAATTGCAAATTAGCGAAATATATTGCAAATGTAGCTTATATTAAATCGCCATCAGATTGCACTATCGACTAACTGACGTATAGTTATAAAATATACTCAAATATATATAGTTTATAATTATATGTTAGTTTGTTGATAAATATGGCAAGCGCCATGTAAAGCTCATTGTAGTCACTGAAACCTCTGCGGAGGAGAGAGCAATCGGGTGGCGATTTAATATAAGCTACATTTGCAATATATTTCGCTAATTTGTGATTATTTTTGTTAATTTTATAAGTTCATTGCAGTTTTAATTTAAATTCAGCCGTTTAGTTGGCTGCCTATGCTATAATTAGATTGTTGTCGTTGTGTGAAATTTAAATTTCTCCTGCGACATTTTGATTGGATACTAAATATAAACTTTGCTGTGGGTGGAAAGCGATCAGGTTAAGTTTTGTGTCAGGCTCTATTTGTAAAATAGAGCCTGATACTCAGGTTACCCCTAGAATATAGACCTCACTGGGGTTTGGTGACACTTTGTGTTGCTTCAGTCACCTGCTCATGGCTCACCCTAAAATTTATGGCACCACCCCAGTAAAAAATATGAAAATCCGTATATGTCTAGTGACTGCTATTAATTAATAACAGGTCAAATATTAAATGCATCAGTCAAATCCAAGCATGCCCATCCGCGGCCGACCCCGGGCTTTTGACAATTTTCAAAAATATGTGACAAATTCCCGGGGGTGGGGATAAAAAACATGCGAAAATGGCAGCAGCGTAGCAAATAATAAGTAGAAAATCCCCCACCCCGGGGACAGCTGGACTGTTTGGCTAAGAAGAGTAGTTTATCCAACTACTATACCTGAAAATAAAGAGAATACTTTTTTCGACTTATTGAGCGAATGTATAGCCCAATTATTTGGCTTGCGTTGCAGGCTACCAAGTATTGTGCGCCATACTCTAGCACGTTTTTGATGTTGTCTTGCTCTAGTGCATTTATTTTTAAAGTTTGCGACATGGTTCGAATTTATGCATTTTTAAACTACAACTTGACTGGTTTACATTCTATATTATATATATTCTACAGCATTAATCAATTTATTAAAAAATGTTCTGAAACTGGTATTGTTTTGTTTTATATTATTATCAAGATGTCGGTGATCGTAAAACCTCCAAATCTTTTATTTCAAATGCCCCACCCCCAGGCAAAGGTTTGAGTTCAAATGCTCAACGTGCTTTGGAGGAAAACACCCCATGGAGACTGGGGGGGGGGGGGGGGCACACTTGGATTTGACTGATGCATAACTTGTAGACCAACAGTCCTCACTTGTCTTCTTAACCATTTTTGAGTAGTTCAGACAAAAACCTCACCAGTTTAAAATGTTTAAAGTTGAAATTTAAAGTTTAAAGTAGAAATTGGGATTTATCTCTTCATTTATGACTGTTTTGTTTTTAGTGCTGGTGATAGTGAAATGGAAAAAATTCAGGTATAGATGAATTCAAATGTTTTAAAATCGAACCTAGTTGTGCATTCCAGGAGAGCACAATAGGAGTTTGGCAACCTGGAACGGCAACGACAACGGCAACGGCAAAAATATAATTGCTTATATTGTTGTAATTGAGCCAAAGTATACGTTGCTTCACTTAATTTGCCTGTTTAAGTATTCCTGTTTCTCTCGGCAAACAGCCCCTAAGTAAAAATAGTCCGCGAATCCAATAAAACACTTCAAATAACATCGAACAAACATAACTGTTGCCATAGTCATGCACCGTGAAAGTGATTTCAACAACTTCAACAACTACGGCATTGGACAACGCTAAAGACCATGTAATTTACATTCGCCTTTGTCTTTGAGGATCAATGCAATATATTGTAAATTTTATTGGTGATGACCACGTTGCCATTGCCGTTGTGTTTGCCAAACTCCCTAATGCCAGGGATGGTGATGATTGACTGAGATTAGTGTTCATCCCTTGTATATACTGCCATCAACAGTACAGAATAGACCCTTCTGGAAAGTATGTCATCTTGGCTATATAGAGCCTCTAATTCTTTAACTAATTCCACAAGACCCACATACACAAATACAAGGCTCTATAGCTAAGGTGACATACCTCACTCTATAGTATAGCCAAGATGGAAGAGTGTACTTCATTAAACTGTGGGGAATCAGGGTAGTTGTTGTATATATAGAGATTTCTTCATGGGAAGTGCTGATGTATGGTATTTTTTGTGCGTTATTTCTTTTCCAAAACAACTTCACTTTTACTGCACTGAAACTTTGGTGAGAAGATTGAGTTTCAAAACTCAATTCAAGATTGAGTTTTTGGGGCCGTTTAACGGCCCTAAAAAATCCCTGAAAAAAAACCTGAATATAACAAACAATTATGTAAACTTGCCATACATTTTGCCGAACATAACTTCGCCCCTTTGGACATATCTTTTTCGTAATAATAATATTGGAACCAGAATCGAAAACACTATTTATAGTGTTATTTTCAAGCTTGTGTCTTGGGATTAAAACAACACGCTGTTTAGGAAAAACCGGAAGTCGATTCTGTAGGTCGGCATGATTTGCACGTGCATGAATCGAGCTATAAACGTGCGTGCGAGTAAAAAGCCGATATTTTGAAAAATTCAAAATAAATATTCCGACTCTGTGCCGTATTCAAACGAAACTTTGTACATGAAAGCGCTTGAATACAAGATGTATTTTACTCACATTGACTCTGAGCAAATTCTGAAGATATAAAGTTTGTTCGTTCCCTGCAACCAGGTATATCAATCATGTTTCGCTCGCTACTCTGGTTTAAATAAATGATTACAAAGCCCAGTCGAATTGTAATCAAGACCCAACGTTTCGACACTCCAGTCTAGTGTCTTCATCAGGGGTGATCTAAAACTGCGATCGTGGCTTCTTAAATACCCAAGGGATGACGTCACCTGCGAAGAAGATGCATATATTCCTCTGGCAAATAGGCGCCGTCATCCCTATTCAAAGCATGATGACTCGTATTAATATGCCACGCTTTCTAGGCAAAGTCTTTGACCATAGCGATTGTTTGTGGTAATTACTTTAGAGTTTTCCCACGCAATCTCGTGTTTGGTCTAACATACATGTTCGGCTAAAGCTGATTTTCCCTTGTCTAAAGTTGAAACAGCCTTTTGATGTTCTTTTAGCCATGTACCAAACTGGCGTTTAGACTGACCCAAATACTCTTTCTCGCAGTCACCGCATGGTATAGAATATACAGTGAATGTATGGAACTATTACTATATTCTATACCATGCGGTGACTGCGAGAAAGAGTATTTGGGACAGTCTAAACGCCAGTTTGGTACACGGCTAAAAGAACATCAAAAGGCTGTTTCAACTTTAGACAAGGGAAAATCAGCTTTAGCCGAACATGTATGTTACACCAAACACGAGATTGCGTGGGAAAACTCTAAAGTAATTACCACAAACAATCGCTATGGTCAAAGACTTTTTGTCAAATAAATATGAGTAATCATGCTTTGAATAGGGATGACGGTGCCTATTTTCAGAGGAATATATGCATCTCATTGGCAGGTGACGTCATTCCTTGGGTATTTAAGAAGCCACGATTGCAATTTTAGATCACCCCTGATGAAGACACTAGACTGGAGTGTCGAAACGTTGGGTCTTGATTACAATTGAACTGGGCTTTGTAATCATTTATTTCAGTAAACCAGAGTAGCGAGCGAACCGTTTTTAACATGATTGTGGACTCGTATTTTGCAAATGGCGGGAATTTTATTCAATGTAATTATGGAAAAACAAACAAGAAAACAAGGCATGCAAAACTACCGCAAAATCACAAAAAGCAGTAAGATGTCCGTAAGATGTCTAGTTTAAACCAAAGTGTAGCTGTTTGGCAATTATATATCAGTGTTTTCTTGTGTAATGGGTCCTAAAACGCCAAAAAACGGAAGCGTTAGCGTTTGGAGAATTATCAGAAAACATCTACTGGCAGGTAAGTGTTGCTTTTCATTATTGTTACTCTGAAAAGTTTGGTTCACTCCTATGCAAGCGCCATTTTTAACTATGTTTTGAGAAGTTAACGATACCTTAGAGTATATTTAACTTTAAGTCTTTAACTACTTTTTAACTGCAGTTAACGCTAACTAGATTTTTACACAACCGATTAAAGTTAACCACTATTTAATTACAAAACGGATAATTAAATCGTGAGTTTTAGACAACCGGCCCCAGCCAATATTACAAGAACAACATATAACTTAGCTAAAAAGTTTGTATCACGATCTGGAGTCTAATATACGCATGCGCAGAACGGACTGTATACAGCATCTTTAACTATATGTAGACGGCCCTGAAGGGGTACAAATGGGAACTGGGATTGGCCTATTTTTGGACTGGGAAAATGGCATATGGGTTACTGGGACTGGAAACTATAGACACAAAAATGGGAATAGGAAAATTACGCATTATAAAATAAGACAGCTGTAGTTGGACATTTAAGCAACTTTTAATTGAGACTTTGTCTAAAAATGTCAAAATATAAAATAAAGTCATGCTCAGGCAGGCACACACTTGTAATTACCAATTGAAATCAGTCTAACATAATGTCTCACAGGCTGTTCGAAAGCAATTATCATTTGTGGCACAGAAATAATTGAATACCTCCAGAGAATACAGTAAAGTCAACAATTCAAGAATCAACACAGTCGGGTTTATTTGTTCAGATTTCCCAATGGATTTGCTCATGGTCAATCAGAAAAGCGAAACAATTAAGGTGGAGCAGTCGTCAGAGCAAGCGCCTTTCACCTCTGAAATCGTGGCTTCGATTCTTGCTACGGATGTACGATCAACGCTCTGCCGAAAGTCGTGGGTTATCTCCGGGTGCTCCGGTTTCCTCCCACAGGGAAGGTTGACAGGGTGGGTTAGGCTAAACACAGTTAGGAAAGTAATATCTCAATTATTGTAAAGATAAATAGTCTAGGCTAAGTAAATAACATAAGTAATTGTAATACTTGATGTAATCGGTCACTGAAAAACCCCAATGGGGAGTGAGCTAAATAATAATGTAATGTAATGTACTGTAAAAAATTGTGATTATGAATTTTTTTTCTGTGTTGGTGTTGTGTACTCAGGTGAATAATATGTTTGCGATGTTACTCTGAGTGCATATCCACACCGGGCGAGCTTGAAAAATATGCCCGGCCACGGTGGGATTCGAACCTACGACCTTTGGAATACTAG